CACAGCCTGAGGCTGCAGTTAGGGGCTGGGGTCTTTTCCTGAGCTGCAGGTACATGAACTGCCTGTGAAATGAAGGGGTTGGACTAATGCCCAGGCAAAGGTTTTTTTTTTATCTGGGTATATTGAAATGCCAGGAAGGTTCAGGTTGGATATTAGGAAAAATTTCTTCGCTAAAAGGGTTGTCAAGTGTTGGAACAGCTGCCCAGGGCAATGGTGGAGTCCCCATCCCTGGAGGGATTTAAAAGCCATGTGGATGTGGCGCTTGGGGACGTGGGTTAGTGGTGACCTTGGCAGTGCTGGGGGAATGGTTGGACTTTATCTTGGAGGGATTTTCCAACCTAAATGGTTCTGTGATTCCAAATCAGCCAATGTGTTCTCCCTCACTGTCCTGAGGGTCTGCTAAGAGTGGGTTTTGACTCCAGGGCTCTGGCATTTTGAACTCATGGCCCCAACTACTGCAAATGGGTATTTGGGGAGTTTGCAAAGGGAAGGAAATGCAGACCCACAGGAAGGGGCAAGATGTGCAGGTCTTGGGAGCTTGAACCCCTGTGGGTACGTTGGGATGGACACTGGACACATGTCAGCAGCCACAAACCCAGAGGTGGCCACAGGACTTCCTCTAATTACTTCACATCTCATAGCTGGAATATGGTGTTTGTTTTTAGAAATGTGTTGGATGTTAATTCAAAATCTCCTTAGCCAAAGTTTGCCACAACCTGATCAGAGACTTAATTACTGTCACGTTGGAAATCTGACTGTATTTTTGAGTCAGCCACAGGATCTTGTGTCGCATCTGTCCTTTGGAGTAGAGATCCCTCACCACTGCATTTCCATTCCTGGGTAGGCACTTGGACCCCAACACGGCTGTTCTAGATGTCCATCCAGCACAGCTCCAAACCCACAATCTCCTGCAGGTGCCCATCTCCATCTGCTCCAGCTTCCTGGCTGCCCTGGTCCCTCTCCCATCAGCCACATCCCAGCCCAGGGGTCATCCCAGGCTGAGCAGGAACAAGACTGAGTGTGGTGCCAACTTTCTGTTCCTCCTCGGCATGACTCTGCTTGATGGTGGGGCTTGGCTTTACTACAAAACTTTGGATCTCCTTGATGTGACTAAGACCACCATAGCTGGACTCCTCAGTGGTTGGTGACATGTACTGCATCTCAAAATTCTATTATTCACAAGGCTCAACCTCCTGGGACTTTGACCCAGGACCAAACGGTCCTATTGCAGGAGAAAACAATCCCAGAGCAGTAACTTATGATGTTTTATTTTGTTCAGGCTTATTTGTGATTTTGTTTTAGGCTCTCAAACACTGCTAGTCCTCCAGTGTCTCCCAACTGGAATTTCTGATAAGGACCAAATTTTTCAGCATATATTTAAAAACAAAAACCAAACAAAACCAATGACCAAGTCCACAATTGTTGTTGCTCACTTTCGTTTTCAAGTATTTCTCTTTTCCTGAGAGCCACAGCAAGATGCCAACAATGTTCTGCTCTGGCAGCGAGTGATAGAACTGTAGTGGGGCCACCACCCCTTTTCCCTCACTATTTTTTTTTTTCCCTAAAGGGGAGAAACTGCTGTGAGCATGTGGAGGACTGTAATTATAGAATCATCAAATGGTTTGCATTGGAAGGGACCTCAAAGCCCATCCAGTCCCACCCCCTGCCACAGGCAGGGACACCTTCCACTATCCCAGGTTGCTCCAAGCCCTGTCCACCTTGGCCTTGGACACTTCCAGGGATGGGGCAGCCACAGCTTCTCTGGGAAACCTGTGCTAGGGCCTCACTGCCCTCACAACCAAGAATTCCTTTCCAATATCCCATCTAACCCTGCCCTCTGACAGTGGGAAGCCATTCCCCCTTATCCTGTCCCTCCAGGCCCTTGTCCAAAGTCCCTCTCCAGCTCTTCTGGAGCCTCTTTAGGCACTGGAAGGGGCTCTAAGGTCTCCCTGGAGCTTTTTCTTCTCCAGGCTGAACAATACCAAATTTCATGGTGATGGGTTTGTTGCTGGAGCCTGGTGGCACCACAGCAGGCACAGGGAGCAGCAGCAGAGCTTGTCTCCTGAAGGATTTGTGCTACAACCCGTTCCATGGTCTGCAGGGCTGGGCTTGTGCAGGATGAGCCCTTTGGCTGCCACAGGAGTGGTGCCATCACTGCCCAACTGCCACTTGCTGGTGTCCCTCGGTTTCTTCTCCAGAATAAGGTCTTTAATTAGACTTGTAAATGAAAGTGGTTGAAATATTCATGACTTTATCAAGGCTGTGTGCAGAGGGCTCCATTTCTCACTGCATTATTGAGGCCACTGAAAGGCTGGTACCGTGCTTTAATGCAGAGGTTGGTATAGGTAAAGCATTTTCTGTTATGAAGACATATAATAATTACAGATAAAGTGGACAAAAATAAAAGTAACGTGAACTGAAGCAGTGTGGCTTTTCTGCTACAGAGGATGAAGCAATTGGGAATCTCTGGGTTTGTAATGGACCAAAATGACTGTTTTCATGTCAAATACGCCACTGGTGGTAGATTCAGGCTGCTACGTTTGAGACACGGCTGTTTGGGTATTTATTTGGGGCTTGATGTGGTTATACCCTCACTTCTGAAAACTTGATTTACTGTTCAATTTTTCCTCTGGATGTGGCTCAGAAGTTTTCAGTAGTTTTGTCTTACCTTTGGTTCTGTCTTGCTGAGCAGAGAGAGGGCTGTTATTTCTTTAGTAAAGTGGGCCAAAACCAGTGTCCTTTGGCTATGGAACAGCACATCTCTGGACTCAGCAAAGGGATTTGGTAGGAGCTGCAGGTTTGTTTGTGGTGGGGAAAGCAGGTTGTTCAAATCCAGCTCTGAAAAACCCACACACAACCAAACCAAAAGAAAATCAAACTTAATAGTGACTATTTCTTATTCCCCTACCCTATTCTTCTCCCTTCCTTCTTTCCCCCTCCCCACAGGTACTTTGGTCTTGAGTCTCTGCCATGGCCATAGATAATATTTTTCTCTGCACAGATGAAGTAGAACTAATTTCGAGCATTTTTTTCTTTAGTTTTCCTAAAAGAGCATTTACGCTCTGTCTCTCCTCTTGGAGAGGTGTGTTGCTTATGAGTTCGATCCTCCTGAGTAAGTAACTCTTTCTCCATGGACCCCCCTCAATATTTGGGGCTCCAGAGGCAGCAGCTGCTCCCACTGCATGGGGATGGAGCGCAAGGGACTGGATTTGGGAGAACAGGGTTGTTTTTCTTCTAGAGGTGTGAAGTCTTTGGTGTAGAAAATAAGATGTTGGTAATTCTCAAGAAAACACTATGAAGCTTTACATATTTTGAAGTAGTAGTTCCTGTTTCTCAAATCCCAGTTCTTGGTTATACCAAGGAAAAAAAAGAATAGTAAATTAAATATGAATTATACCCCACATGGATATATATACTCTGTTTTCTTTCATGCTTTTTTCCATGCTTTCAGCCTTTCTGCTGCTTCACTGACTCTTCTCTGCTGTCTGTCCCACTTACCATCACTTTTTCTCTTCCAGCAGTGGATTTCTTATCCTGTGAGGTTCCAATGAATCCGTAGTATCTCCATGTAGCATTCCCTCCATGGACAAGATCTTATTATTATTTTTAAAATAATTGCTCTTGCCAGGACAGGTTTTATCATCCTTCAGCTACTAAAAACAGCTGAAAGGAGATTTGAGGTCCAGAGTGTGCAGAACCTTTCTGTGCACAACTCTCGGCTCAGCCTCTGCACCACTGGATGGGGCATTTCACCATGTCAGGGGAGACACGAGCTCTTCTGAGCTGCAGCCACTGAAATTCTGGGAAAATTCTACTCCTGGAAAATCACTGTGTCATACCCCACTCACCTGAAGACCTTTCTGATTTCACTATCAGGGCAGTCAGTGGCATGCCCTGCGGTGACAGTGGGGTTTGGTGGGGGACCTGCTCCCACTGGCTCCCAACAGCCATCTCCAAAGGAAAATGTCATTTTTGTTCTCCCTTTCCTAAATATCCCTTTTCCCCCTCAATCATAACCACTTCAAGCAGATGGTGGGCCTATTATATAACTGAGCAGAAGGCTGTGTTACAAAATTTAGCCACATTGGGTGCTGCTTCAGATAAGACTAAACAACTCATTTCTGGGGGTTTTGGCCTTTCCTGTTCTATTTTGAGTTTGGAGGATGAAGTTATTCCGGGGGGAGATTAATGGGAATGTTCCTCTATTATTAATGACTCATCTGAGTCCTGAAGAAAGTAGGAAAGATGAAAGGCATGGATATAGGAACACCAAAACTGTCCATGAAGGTGCAGGATGAGTCTGTGGGTTCCAGCTGCTTGTGTTGCCCTTGGTAGCTGGGATGTATGGATCCCATAGGCTGGGGGTGTATGAGCAACCTGGACTAGTGGAAGGCATCCCTGCCTAGGAATGAAATAAGCTTTAAGATCCCTTCCAACCCAAACCAGTCTGGGATTCTGTAAAAAGAGGGAGAAGCTTGGAGAAACCCACTCTCCTCCATCTGGCTTCCAAGTGTTGTGGTGGTGGCTGGTGCCCTGATGGGCTCTGGGGCTTCCAGGACTTCCCACTTCCCATCTGGCTCCAGCATTACTGGTACCAGGCATCATTTTAAGCACTGTGCAGATCAAGAATCACCACAGAAGATAACCAACCTCATGGTTTAAACCGGTTTTTAACACCCAAGAGGGGTTTCCCCTCCATGCATTAGAGCCCACACACAGCACGAGGGTGTGATTAAGACAGAAAGCTTAGAAATATTAACTGTGAAATACAGCCCCACACGCTGGGATCAAGTTAATAAGTGTTAAGTGAACAAATAAATGGCATAAGCAAATGTACACACAACCTGCAAAGTCCTGCTGGCAGCTTCTGGAGTTTGGCTCTTTCCTTGTTTAACCTTATTTATGGATTACAGCCAGCAAGGGAAGAAGGAACCTTTTGGAGGATTTACTTGAAGTGTTGTATTAATATTGCATTTCTTTTGTGTTCCTTCTACCCACAGGATTGAAAAAACGTACCAGGAAGGCCTTTGGTATACGGAAGAAAGAAAAGGACACTGATTCCACGTGAGTCCGTGAGATATAAACCACATTAATGTATAATGATGCCAGGGAGGAGTGGATGCCACTGTATCAGGACAGGCAGGAAGCTGGGCCAGCACAGGCATTTATTAGATCAAGTGTTTAATAACAAATACATTGAAGCTGCTTCCCCTTGTACATCCAGGGGCCAACAAATCAGGGGTTTCCTCTGTGTTGCTGCAGAGATGATCAAGCAGGTTCTCCGTGTGTGTGCGGTTTACAGTGACAGTGAGTGGTGATCAGAGGAAAACTACTCCTCTGAGAGTTTCAGCAGATAAATCTCTGCCCAAACTACTAATTTGCCTTGTCTGCTGAGCTCTTTATAGATGCCAATTCAATTTAAACAGATGCTTGTGGAGGCAGTGGGGCTGTGTGGTTGGGGCAGGCTTGGGATGATGGGGAGCAGGGGGCTGGTGGACCACAAGATCTTTTGCCTCTGCTGTGAGAGATAATTTTGCTTTCCAGGAAAATATGTGGGGGGGGATCTTCTGGTATCTGGCAGGGGATGCTCTGTGTGGGTGCAGAGCTGTTGGTGGGGTGCTGATACCAGTCCAGGGGTTGTTCTGGAGAAGGGTCTGGAGCACCAGGAGCTGCTGAGGGAGCTGGGGGGGCTCAGCCTGAAGAAAAGGAGGCTCAGGGGGGACCTTCTCACTCTCTGCAACTCCGACAGGAGGGTGGAGCCAGGTAGGGGGTCAAGCTCTGCTCCCAGGGAACAAGGGATAGGATGAGAGAAAATAGCATTATCTCAGACCAGGAGAAGCTTAAGTTGGATATTAGGGGAAATCTCTTCATGGAAAGAGCTGTCAGGTATTGGAACAGGCTGCCCAGGGCAGTGATGGAGTGCCCATCCCTGGAGAGATTTAAAAGCTGTGTGGATGTGGCACTTGGGGACATGGGTTAGTGGTGGCATGTGGTTAGTTAGTGGCAGTGCTGGGAATGGTTGGACTTGATGGTCTGGGAGGGCTTTTCCAACCTCAGTGATTGGCCACCACTGCTGTGGCTTTGGTGTAGATGTCCCAAAGCATTGTGACAAAGGAGCCTGTGCCACCCATAGCCTGGGAACATAGCAGGAGGAAGGCAGCAGGGAACCCCATTCCTGCATCTGCAGCATCATTCAGGTGCTTAATGTCCGGTGCAGCAGACACTTCAAGGTTTTTTTTTATTTCATTTGGATTTGTTTTCCTGAGCTGTTTTATGTCTTGGTGGCTGGGGGTTTGGAGGTTTCCTGTGCAAAGGGACATCTGCAAGGCCTGGCCATGCACCTGGGGCCATGGTGCAGGGCTTTGTCTGCTGCAAAGAGGGGACCAAAAATGGGCGGACATGGAGCACATCTCAAAAGAGGGTTGTGCAGCGCTGAGCTGTTCTCTGGCTGGCAGAGAGTGGCTTGTCACCGGGAATGGTGGCATCCATCCACCAGCCAGGCAATCAGGACAACCAGGAGCTCCAGCCATGTATGGGTTCACCTATAATTTATCAGAAGGATGGGCAGGAATCAGCCTGCTTTGATTTTCCACAAGAAGGGGAAACAGCTGGGTCTCCCTCCTGCCTTACCCAGTGCCACACTTTCCATGCCTGCTCTGTCCTGCCCTTCCGAGCGGCTGTGGGAGCCAGTGGCATGGGAGATAAGGAATCCTGGGGTGCTGGGGGTGGGAACGAGTTCGCAGAGAGGCCACTGTGGAGGACACTGCAATTAGCACAGCAGTGATTAGCAGGCGCGGGGTCACAGCACGGTCACAGCCCCGGATGGCTCCCGAGCGCTCTCCAAATCCCCCGTCGGGGCTGGGAGGGGCATTGGGAGAGTAGCGGGCACTGACAGGCCCCCATCACCCTCTGCCATGGCCAGGCCACCACGGCCCCCAGTCCTGGTGGTGGGCACTGTGGTGGTGGTGGCTCCGGAGGTGCTGCCTGGTCCTGGAGAGATGTGGGATCTGCTGGAGCTGCAACACTGTAGTGAGGACCTTCCACCTCTTCCCTCCACCTGAAGAGCAATGATAATCTCCACAGCAATTCCAGCCAGGATATGACCAGGTGACATCCCCTACACTGGGAGGAAACACAGACGCAGAAGAGATTTTTGCTTCTCCCAAAGAGTTTCAAAGGCCTTTGTGCAAAGAGATTAAGCAGAAGATTGGAGAGATGGGATGCAGATAGGTTTGAGTTGGGGGAGTCCAAGGAAAGGCGTTATTCCCTGCTAAAACAAACAGCTCCTGACAGGGTTACCAGGATGCCCTGAGTCAGACATGAATTGGTGGCAAATCCCATAGATTTGCAATGCATAAGACTCGGGAGCACATGGGAGGTGGAGAAGCCTGTCTGGATTCCATAAACATTTTTCTTCACTAAATAACTTGGCACCCCTGGGCAGTGTTGAAATGTGGCTGTGGAGCTGCTGTGACCGAGCCCAAATCCCATAATCAGTTGGGGATTAGGATCCCTGAGGAGCCTCATCAGTTTTCAAATCCATTCCAAAGAGAAGTGACTGTCCTTCTGGCAGAAAAAAATTCTCGAAATTACTGTAGAAATGGTTTTCGTCTTCTGCAAAAGGATGTGGAGCTGGAGCAGAGGTGTGGCCATGGGATGGGTGCAAGGAGCCAGCCCAACTCCTCGGCCAGGACAGACCATCAGCAGGAGCACTTTATCACTAATAAACATAAAATTTGTCATTTGATAACGAGAGGACAAGGGTTCTGAGACCACTGGGTGGGTTTCACAAGGAGTATGTGGGACAGTTAATTCAGGTTTGCTGATAATTTCATAATTACAACTGTTGCTGCTGTAGATTCATTAAGAAAACCATTTCCAGAAGTTAATTAAGCATTGGTGTGGTTTGGGCACTAACACAGCTCTGTTTCTTTTTGTTCTTTGCAGGGGTTCACCGGACAGGGATGGCATCGTAAGTATTGCCCAGACCCCAGTCCCACTCCTATTGTGGCCCCTAAAGTGTCACTTCCCCCACCCACCACCATCAGCATTTTGTGAACAGTCTCCTCATTTCTGTTTAATATAGAAAACAAACTTCAGTAAGAACCTCTCTTTGAAACAATGACCTATTCCAGGTTTCCTGCAAAATTAACACAAAGAAAATAACAATACAGGGAGACCTGAGGAGCTCTAGGGGCAGAGGGACCAGGTGTCCTACTAAAACCCTCAGCTCCTCATCCTTGTTTCCACTCCTGCTAATTGGCTTGGGTCAGATTTGCTGTGTGAGGAGTTAAGGGGAAATTGTCAGAGCAGCTGCTTCCAATATCTATTTTTATTTTCTATATTAACCTGAAAACAAGGAGATACTTGAGATTTTTTTAATTATTGCTGCTTTTATTTCTTGTGTTAGGCAGAAATGTCCCTGCTAGGTCTGGGTAGTAGATGGACCCTGTCTCCTTTAGAACTTTGACAAGGGCCCTGCCTATGTTGAGGGTCACCCTGAGCTCCCAGCTCAGGTCTCCTCATTAGCCATTTGATACCAATAAGTCAGATTAAGAGTGTGCTGGCTTTATTTCTCAAAGAAATGATGTTAAAATTTCACCTTAAAAACAAGCCCCTTGGGAGGCTCAGCAGGGAGAGCAGTGCTGGGGTGTCTTTTCAAAACCATACAAAAGTTAAGATACCAAGCTGCTCCTTCCAAGGGATCACTTTTTTCCCCATCTAACCCCAAATCCTTGGCTTTAGGCTTGCCCTGTGTCTGTAAACTTGTTTAGAAATAGAGATTAAAAAATCAGCAGCTCGGGCAACACTTTAACCAAGGCTCTATTCAGCAGTGGTAAATGAATAAATAACATTAACAGGTTCAGGTTCAGCTGTGTCAGGGAGGTTCAGGTTGGACATCAGGAGGAATTTCCTCATGGAGAGGGTGGTCAGGCACTGGAAGGGGCTGCCCAGGGAGCTGGTGGATTCGTCCATCCCTGGAGGTGTCCAAGGAATGACTGGACGTGGCACTCAGTGCTCTGGGCTGGGTGACAAAGTGGGGATCGGGCACAGGTTGGACTCAATCTTGGAGGGCTTCTCCAACCTTAATGACTCTGTGAACATGTGGAGAACAGCCCAGAGCTGTTCCCTCTGCCACAGAAATGCCTTGGGCAGCTTTTCTTGCCAGATGGGGGTGCAGGGACCTCAGGTGAGCTCAGGTGCCCTCTCCATGGGGCTCCTACTCATGTTTTCCAAGCGGCTTGTTGTTTGAGGGGGGTGCAGGGCAGGGTCTCCAGTGCTCCAGCAAGCTGAAGGATGCAGAAATGCAATTTTTTTGGGGGTATAATGAAGCTGCTGAATGTATTTGAAGCAGGGGAATTGGAGATGAAGACACTGAATATAATTTTTCCTCCTAAAACATGTTCTCCCCATAATGTTTGCAGCCACTGGAGTAGCCAAGAGGCAAATCCTCCAACTGCTGAATAGAGCCCCCAGTAAAAGCTGTGCTTAATCCTGATGGAGCCACAGCTGAGCCCTCCTTTCTTCATAAATCAGTCTTTGCTAGTCCCTTGTAGGTTATTTTTGTGTATTTAAAAAACCAACAACCAAGGAGCAGAGACTTTTAACCCTTTTTTTGCCACCCCCCATCCCTTGCAGCAGCCCAGCCCTCATCCCAATGATCCATCTTGCAATAGCAAACCCGAGAGTGCACGGGAAGGAGGAAATAACTCGGTAAGGAAAGCAGAGCTTGGTTCACAGCTACCAAAGTGTCCTTAAAAACAGTGAGTCCTTCTTGGTTTGAAATCCAGAATACAGAAAAATACTCTTTAGGTTCAGCCAGGATGTATGTGGGTTGGTAGAAATGGGGTTAAATGGAAACGGATGGGGGAAAAGCAGGAGTCCTAAGGAACAGCATCCAGAAGTCCCACAGAACAGCATCCAGAGGATGTTTCTTCATCCTTGAGCCTCTCAGGAAGCTGCTCCATCCTTGGGCAGCATCTTGAGGTCTGATGGGTAAGATATGGAGGGTGAGGGTGCTGGGTCCAGCCCCAGGTCAGTGCATTGTGTCACACCCTTGGCAGGGTGCTGGGGTGAGGATGCTCCCTCTGGCAGCTCAAGGGAACTGGATTATCCAATTTAGGTGTCCAAAATTGAGCCCAGCCTAAGGTGGGTCCCCACTGACATGGCTGTTCACTGGCTGTGGTGGCCAGTGGGAGCTGGTGGGTTCTGGGTGCCCAGAGCAGACCAGCAAAGACTCCCCCAGGTGATGGGTGCCCAAAGCCTCCTTCCAAACCAGATTCCCTTGATCCAAAGCAGCAATAACCTCTGTGTTTGTTGGTGTGTCATGACATGCACTAACACATCATCCCAGACACCTGTAACTGCTCCATCCTGGCATCACCGTGGGCTGGGGCCATAAATCCTGGCATGTTGGGTAACAGAATCTGAATCCTTTGTGGGGGAGGTGTTTGTCTCCTGATAAGTTGTGATGTTACCTCTTGCTTGACAGGCATCGGGAGCCCCCACTGCCACCAGCTCTCCCCATGGGCTGGAACATCCCAGCACATGGAGAAATGGTGTCATTTGGTGCTTTTCCTTAAGAAATGTTGTATTTTCAGCTAATGATGTTCCAAAAACACCCTTTCATCTCTCTGGTATGGGAGACCTTCCAGAAACGGGGAATGGTGATGTATCTCACCAATGTGCACGTGTGGAAGTTCCACAGTGGCATCCCAGCCATGCCAAGGCACAACTACAAGATATGATGTCTTCTTGTTTCCTTCATTTAAAACATGGAAATTTTCTTTTCCAATGTGTTGCAGAAGAAGACAAATGGAGCCCCGAATGGATTTTACGCGGAGATTGACTGGGACAGATACGTAAGTGTCCCGCAGAGCTTCCCGTCATCCAGCACATGTACAGATCCTTGTGGGGAACTCAGGCTGTTCCCACACCCTGATTTGGGGCTTTTTGGGTGATGTGTGGGTGTCAGTTGTGTCCAGATTTCCATTTCATATCTGCAAGTCAATCAGGTTGTATAAAACTGCCCAGAAATGAGGTGGCTCTGGAGAGCTCTGTCCTGGCCAACAGGATGTTGTACTTTATCCAAAGAAAACTTTGGTTTACAACCAAGAATTAAAAATGCTTTCCTGCAAAAATTGAGCACTGCAAAATTAATTGTGAACTTTGAAGGCTGTGCCACAGCACAGGTTGCCTTTGCTCTGTGTAGCCCCAGGGGCTTGAGTTTCGCTGGACATCAGTTCCCACAGGAGGAAAGAGCTGCTCCAGCTTTCCAGGAACAGAATTAATATTCCTAATTCTATATTCCTACTCAGAACTCACCTGAGCTTGATGAGGAGGGATACAGCATCCGACCTGAGGAACCAGGCTATATCCTTTATTGTTGGCTTTGTCTCTTGGGTTACAAATTGTAAGATGAGCTGGGGTTCACAGTCAGGCCACTGGCTATCTTTATTTCATTTTTATTATTTATCATAATTTATTTCCTCATTTTTATTTTCATTTTGAGCTATCATTGCACAGCTAAAACTAAATTCCAGAGGGAATTACCTGAGGTATTAGAACAGAAGGTGATTTTAATTGCCTTTGCTCCACTGGTGTGGAGTGAGGAAGGGTGAGGAATGTGGGAGCATCCCAGTGGGATGCCCTGTGGAAACCACCATGTCCACCATTAGCCTGGAGAAAAGGAGGCTCAGGGGGGACCTTCTGGCTCTCTGCAACTCCCTGACAGGAGGGTGAAGCCAGGTGGGGGTCAGGCTCTGCTCCCAGAGAACAAGGGACAGCACAAAAGGAAATGGCCTCAAGTTGTGCCCAAGGAGGTTCAGGTTGGATATTGGGAAAATTTCTTCCTGGAAACGGCTGTCCAGCCCTGGCACAGTTGCCCAGGCCAGTGGTGGAGTGATTTAGAAGCCATGTGGATGTGGCACTTGGGGATGTGGGTCAGTGGTGGCCTTGGCAGTGCTGGGAAGGGTTGGACTTGGTGATCTCAGAGGGATTTTCCAACCTGAACAATTCTGTGAAATCCAGATGTGGATACAAACCCCTGCTGGGCTAAACCAGGGCTGGAATTATCCCTGTGAACACCACTCCCATGTCCTCTGCCCACACATGGATGAAGCAGTGAAAGATCACAGCAGTGACAGGCACAGCAGGAGGATTCACTCCTGCCCTTGGGCATTTGGGATAAGCATTTGGGGAACACCTGAATCCTGCTCTCCAGGGAGGCTTCAGCCTTGGAGTGCCTGGGAAGCAGAAGGAATCTTTCTTTAACTGTGCTCTACCTACCAAAGGAAAGCACTTCTACTCCTCGAGTGAATCCGAGGAGGAAGAGGAGGCACACAAGAAGTTCAACATCAAGATCAAGCCCCTGCAGGCCAAGGATGTCCTGAGGAGTGCGGCCACTGTGGATGAGCTGAAGGCCTCCATAGGCAACATTGCACTTTCTCCATCCCCTGTGGTGAGTCCTGTGTTTTTCCCTCTCTCCTGCAATTCCAAGAGCAGGGGTGTTCCACAGGGAATCATCCCAAGCACGTGGGAAGCTCTGCTTTCCATGCTGATGCTCCATGAAATGTTGAGGTGGAGCCTCTTCTCTGCCTGGGTGAGAGGGTACTTTTGTAGGAATTCTTCTGGCTGCTTGAGCTGCAGCCACTAAGGCAGAAGAGTTTCGGATTCCAACCAGTTTAATGTTATGTTTTCCCCTCCTGAAACACATAACAGGATCTTAAAAGGCAGCTTTTTGATGAAGTCTCAGGCCTTGATTTGGGAGTCGGCTTAGCAGGTAGTTAATGAGGTCTGTCACAAGAATTTCTCAGCTAAATTATGGAGGAGGGAAGGAAAAATGACATTATACTGTAGTCTTACTAGTGCCTTTGGAAATGCCTAAAAGTGCTACATATAAACTATAAATGAACATGAACTGTATATATTCGTGTCATGCTATTGTGGCTTCACATCATGCTTTGGGTTGATACTATGCTATAAATGAATATAAACTATAAATGAAGTGTTACATATAAACCATAAACCCAAGGGAATGACTGGAGCTGAGTCAGGGGAGGTTTAGGGTGGACAACTGAGATCAGGATATGTTAGTCCTTTTTTTCCCTTTTCCCCCATTTTTAAATGTAATCATCATTCAGAAGATAAAACAGAAGGGTCTTGTCCTGATTCCCAGGACAAGGAAAGTATCTGGGGGTTTTCACACTGCCATAGGATGTTAGAGGGACATTTCTCATCCTGGGGGTGAATCCTGGTTCCTGGAAGGAAAGATCATCTCTTCTTAGTCCCTCCTGGTATAAATACCATCACTCTCTGCTTTTCCTAAGGCTTGTTAAGATTTCTGTTGTCTCACCTCAATCTGTTCAGCCATGAAAAGATTGGGTTTTGGTCTTTCAGTGGTTTTTAGTGTGGGCTTTAATGTCTTTCCAGATGATGCTTCCCATGATTTATAAATAACCTGTATCTGAAGTGTGAATGAATCTCAAACCCGAAGCAAAGATGAAAGAAAATCAGTGTATTTTATTTCTTCTTCCTTTTCTGTCTGTTGGCATTCAAGGGTTAGAAATTGCAGTTGGATGCTTTGAGAAGCACAAAAAAAAAAAGGGGGGGGAAACAACCCCAAACCCAACAATTAAAATAATAATAATAAAGCAGCAAATGCAGCAAAATGGGAGAGTTTGAGACTGGCAATTATTTGCCAAATAGGCAAATAGTGATTGCAAGATAATTATACTAAATATAGGACTAATTTATTGTGAAACCAAGCAAATTCTGGCTTTGCAGAGTGATGACCTCAGCATTTTGTTGCACATGTGTATGTATATGATGTAGGTGACATTGGGAGGAGAGAGGAAAAAGTGCAATATTTTAAAAATTGGATAAGGAAGGCGCTGAGAATTTATTCAAGGGGCCGAGTCTGTTTGTTGCTTGGATTTCTGCATCCCTTGCAGGGATGCTGCAGGTTGGGAAAGTGTCCCTGCCCGTGGCAGTGGGATGGGAACAAGATGAGCTTTAAGGTCCCTCCCAACCCAAACCATTCTGGGATTAAAAGATTTATTGAGAAAAATTTGGGTGGTCACATGAAGGTCCTGGCAGCGCAAAGATTCTTGGTGGTTTTAATTGTCATTGATTAAATACTTGAAGAGTTTTGCACTGACATATGAGGATTAGGCTGTTGTGATCAGCATCTCTTCTGCCCTTCACTTTCTCCAGGAAAACCAAATTCCCACAGAACGTGAATTTTGCTAAATAGGATTTTTGTCTCCTCTTTTCCATGGTGTTTTTCCTGCTGAGGTGGAGGGATTTTGCCATAATTTAGAAGGGTTTACCCCCTGGGGAGGAGGATGCCTGTGTGATGTGGTCCGAAGGCTTTGGGTGCTGGGTTAGGACACTGTGTTGTGCCTTGGGATAATCCTTGTCCCTGGTAGAGCTTGGCCTTGGGCTGGAGCCTTTTCTTCCCTGTAAAGCAGTGCAGACATGCTCAGGGAAAAGCCCTGTGCCAGGCTGGACAGAAGGATCCATGCTGCTCACCCATGTGGGGATCCAAAATCCAGTGTAGGGAGCCAAGGTGTGCAGATGGGGAGTGAGCAGTGTCGCTGCCAGGCACTCCTGCTCTCCAGATCCTGGCACATGGCACTGCCCTCACTGCCCAGGAAAGCACCACTGCCCCAGGCAGAAGCTAGCTGAAGGAGTTTTGCATCCACAGGAGTTCCATGCTTGCCTGTCAGGTTCTTGTCCTGGGCTTGTCTTCCCTCCAAAACCAGCTGCAAAGCCCTGCTCTGGCATTGCATCCTCCTGGAATAGAGCAGTGGGATGGTAGACAGTGGAATCTCAAACTGGTTGGGTTGGAAGGGACCTTAAAGCTCATCTCATTCCAGCCCCTGCCATGGGCAGGGACACCTTCCACTATCCCAGATTGCTCTAAACCCCGTCCAACCTGGCCTTGGACACTTCCAGGGTGGGGCAGCCACAGCTCCTCTGGGCAGCCTGTGTCTGTAGTCACTGTCCTCCTCATGCCTTTGGGATGTGAATTCTTGTGCTTTAAAACTTAGAAACAAGAAGAAAACTGGAGATGCTGGTGTAAACTGGTGTCAGATGCTCCCTCTGAAGCCCAACAGCTCAAGGTCCATTTCTGGTGCAGAAGATCACAGGTGTTGGTGGCATAACCTGCTTGTGCCATGTGCCCTGCCAGCACAGCCCAGATGCTTCAGACCTCCCACCTGCACCTCTGCTCCTGCTGGCTTTGCTCTTGGCTCCATGAAAACTCAGACCCAGGAACAAGGACTTTGTGGGAAAAACAGTGACTGGTTTAAGATGATGAGTAACAGCCTTAAACTTAAGCACTTAAAAACAACATTTCTGCCCCTTTGACTTTTCTCCCACACGGACTCTTCCAAGGAATGAAGTAGGCTGGGAATGGCTGTTGCCTATAGCCAGTGGGGCCTGTTAATGATAAAACAAGTGAATTGCTTCCATAAGATGGCTCAGACAAAAGTTTTTTATGTTTCCATATGCTCTCCTGTCCAGTCTCCCAGCTGGATGGGTGACAGCCTGGCTGGTGCACTCGTGACCCTCTGCTTTGCCATGTCTTTAACCTGATGCTTTGGTCATAATACAAATCTTTAATTTCTCTGTTACCCTTTTGAGAAAATATCTTACATTCTCGTTCTTTTTTTTTTTCTCTTTCTGCATTCTTTTAGAGGAAAAGTCCGGTAAGAAACACAATTTTTATCTCCCTAATACTTTAACCCAGCCTTGTATCCTCTGGTCACACAGTGCCTGTTCTGCACATCTCTAGAGCTGAAATGGAAAATGTAAATAACAAATCCTGCCCTTCTAGAATGATGTTTAATTTCCTTTATTGTTGACTTAGAACATTTAAAAATAGAGCATTTAAAAATAGAGCTAAGCTGTCTTTGCTTTGAGTGTTCACTCAAAGGGGGGTGTAGTTTGGGTGAAAGGTGTTTGGACAAGATGCATAAGGGCACTCTTATCTGTGGATTGTGGCACATCCAAAGGTGTGAGAAGGCAGAAAACCCATCTGTGATCTATCACTTCTGTGGTTCCTGTGTACAGAGGAGTTGGTTTCCCCAAGAGGACTGAGCTGCCATCTGTTCCAAGCCCAAAATGGGGAAATTCACCCAATTTCCAGGGTTTGGGTTACCTCTGGGTGACCAGGTGACCCACGGGGTGTTGTGCTCCAGTGGTGGAGGCTGTGTGGAGGAGAAGCCCAACCGGTGCAGCGGTGACAGAGGGGTATGATGGGCTCTGGGGGACTTGGGGTGCTGACCTGTCACTCTCTGACCAGGTGTCTCTTCTCTCTTCCTTCTCGCTGACCGCAGCGGCGCAGCCCGGTAAGGACCCACTCCTTTCCCCTTCCTCCTCTACTGGGAATGGGAGTGCTGCAGGGAGCTAAGTCAGTGCTTGATGGGAATAGGGAATGGGGACTGGGTGCCACTACCCCTACCCACCCTGCTGTGTGACCCCAGGTGATGGTGGGATCAAGGGGATTGCCTCCCGTTGATAATGCAAAGGGGCCCTCAGTGATAGATGTTCTCCAAGGCTCATCCTGCATCCTTGCAACCTCCTGGAGATCCTGCTTGTGGTCCCAGGATGTCCCCACTGACCCCCTCTTGTGGGGCTCCTGCTCCCCTCTCTGCTGCACAGCTCCAATTCCTCTGACTGGGGGGGATTTGGCTTTGGAACAAGCTTCCCAAGGCCAGTGCTGGGGTCCCCATCTCTGGAGGGATTGAAAAGGTGTGTGGATGTGGCATTTGGGGTCATGGGTCAGTGGTGCCCTTGGCAGCGCTGGGAGATGGTTGGACTCAATGATGTTACATGGCTTTTCTAACCTAAATTATTGTGTGTGGGGAGGTATGTGTGATGTGGCAAGAGCAAGGACTTAAATTACTAAAATACATTATTAGATTGATTTGCAGCCATCAAACATAAGGATTTGGGGCTTATGCCATTATTAATGGGGTGAGGGTGTAACTGACCTCCCCCCCCAAGGCACTGGTTAGCTGGGATGTCTTCAAAAACAGAGCTGCCAATGATGACTTCAAGTGGGTCAGAAACCTCCTGGCAGGGTTGTCTGCTCTCTGTATTTCAGCCACATACAGTAAATGTCACTTTAGACAATTCCTGCCACGTCTGCTGGGCTGTTTTGCTCCTGGGTGACAATTGGCATGTGCCTATGTCCCCATGCATCCCACTTACCTCTGTGTTTCTGTTTCCAGGGGACAATTAAAAGGAATTTATCCAGTAAGTATCTTCTGCAGCCTGGAAAAACAGTGCAGTTGGTGGAGGTGTTTGGGGGAGGGGGAGGGAAGGGAGTGGGGAAGGTTTGCTTTAAAGTGGTCCTGGCAGAAATGATGATACCTAAAAGTTTTCCTTAAAATGCCATGTGGGACATTCTTGGGGTACCTGCAGTGTACTACAGGGAGTATAGTGTGCTATAGCAGTGCAGCTCCCTAGTTCAGTGCTCTACAGAAATAAATCTAAATTAAAAAGCAGATTCTTTGCTGGGGTGGGATGTGTGCCATGCTGGTGGCACACTGGGTGTGAGCCCTCCTGCTAGCACAGGGTCTGGGAGGAGTGGGCAGGGAATGACTCTCACCCTGTGCTGTCTGTCCTGTGCCACAGGTGAGGAGATCACACGGCCCCGGCGCTCCACACCAACACCAGACCCTGCCAGGTCAGTACAGAGCCTCTCAGTGGGATTATCCAATGCATCCATGTCCAGGTACATCATCCCAATGTGGGTTTTGAGCATTCCATGGGCAGGTGAACATTTAGACTTGGCTGAATGTGTTCTCCTCCAGGTTTTGATCCTTTATCATCTACATCCAGGTAGGGCAAACCCAGAATAAAGAGCAAATTCACTGAGTATTTGCTACCCTACAACTGTTACCAACCCATCAGTGAGCTGAGCTGCTCCAGTTTGGCTCATCAAAGGCACCACTGCAGCAACATCACTTTTATAACCTTTTAGGCTCCTGAGACAGCTGAACATCTGTGTTTGGCTTTAAATACACTGAGAAAATGCAGGATGCAGCAGGCACAGGGAGATTTGGGTCCATGGGCTCTTTGTTGGATTCTGGAGAAGATAAGGCTTCCGAGAGACCTTAAAACCCCTTCCAGTGCCTACAGAGGCTCCAGGAGAGCTGGAGAGGGACTTTGACAAGGAATGACAGGACAAGGGGGAATGGCTTCACACTGCCAGAGGGCAGTGTTAGATGGGATATTGGAAGGAGTTCTTCCCTGTGAGGGTGGTGAGGCCCTGGCACAGGTTGCCCAGAGAAGCTGTGACTGTCTCATCCCTGGAGGTGTCCAAAGCTGGGTTGGATGGGGCTTGGAGCAACCTGTTCTAGTGGAAGGTGTCCCTGCCCATGGCAGGGGGTGGAAGGGGATGGGCTTTAAGGTCCTCCAAACCCAAACCAGTCTGTGATTCTGGCAGAATTGAGAGGCTGCGATGGTAGTGGCGCCCCCAGTTTCAGATGCACAGTGTCCATCCTTGTACTCCTACAAGAGCAGCAAGGACATCCACTTCTGGAAGCCACCTTGAGCCTGATCAATAGGGAGAGCTGACAAACGTTGTGCTGGGGGGATATATCGATTTAGAAAAGCAAACACACAAGTTTATATGGAGTAAAGCCAAGTGTTACTGTGAATGTGCCCCAGGTAGCTGCAGGGCTCAACTCAAGGTGTGTTGGACCAGAGTGTAGTCCAGACCTTGACTATTTTTATTAATCCTTTCCCATGCAGTTTGGACTAATTTTGAACCAACTTGAACTGTCCCAGCAGCTGCTCTGGCACTACGGGGTTGGCACCACAGTGCTATAGCCAGTGCTACCACTGTCCTTCCCTTTTCACTGCCCAAACCCCCGTGTTTGCCCAGGTCCTTGTTAGTCTGAAATGTGAACACTCTGAAAATATTCGTATTTGCTTCAAACTCTTGGTTTGAGCACAAACCTGATCCTCATGGCTCCTCTGTGCTTGTCTCATCCTGCAGCAAGAAAACAGGGGAGGATCCTGCTGCACTGGCTCCACTCTTCGGGCCCCCCTTGGAGTCGGCGTTCGAGGAGCAGAAACTGGACGGTGGGCTGGGGACATGGGTGGCATCTTCTGGCAGTGCCTTGGGGACAGCTGGCAGCATCCAACTCTGCCAGCAAGCAGGGCAGTGATATGACAAGAGGAAATAATCTCAAGTTGTGCCCAAGGAAGTTTAGGTTTGATATTGGGGAAAATTTCTTGATGGAAAGGGTTGCCCAGCCCTGGCACAGCTGCCCAGGGCAGTGGTGGAGGGATTTAAAAGCCATGTGGATGTGGCACTTGGGAACATGCTGGATTGGACTTGATGTTCTTAGAGAGCTTTTCCAACCTAAGCAATTCCCTGATCAGGTTCCTAACCCTCCTCTTAAAGAAGGAAAAAGACAAAGCTAAAGCTGAAGGCGAAGGGCAGGTGACAGGGTTCCCAGTCTGGGGTTAATACGGGTTAGATGGAAACAGAGCAAGTGTTTAAGTCAATTAGTTAATTATGTGGTCTGGGACAGATCCTGACAGGGAACAGCTAATGAATATCAAAATTATTGACTCTCAAATCAAACCATGGTTATACCAAGCCCCTAGATGCTCCCCAGAGTGTGGGGAGGAGTTTAACACCACCCCAACACCTCAGATCTCCCTTCAATGAAATAGCAGGATGCTGGATGGAGCTGTTGGACAATGCCTCCATTCTCAGGAAGATGCTATCTCAATAATGTCATTTTTCCCCCAAAACCAGTGTTTGCTTGGCAGAGACACTTTGCTCCTTCCCAGGCTTGATTTTTTCCCAGCTTTCCCAAAGTGCAGTGATCTTGCAAGGCTTGTTTTCCTCAAAGAACAACCCCATTCACCCTCTGGAGCAGATTGTTCCCAGAGAGATCTCCTCCTCCTTCTCCCAGAGCCCGCAGACTCTGCTCCCAGGGAATGGCCACTGCCCTTGTAGCCTCGTTATGTCTTGTCATTTATGACTCCAGTTAATTCTTTTAATCAAAGCTATGTTTGCTTGCAGTTCTCTGCACACAGCCCCTCCAAAAAGTACAATAAATTTAATTTACTTAGAAAATTTTTTCCCTACAACCTCTGTGAATATATTTGTATCTTTTCATTTTAATACTGGATAGGTTTTTTGCATATCCTAAAATATCAGACAATTTTTGCAATTAATACAATGTTTCCCTCCATGTAATAAGCCTCTAAATCCATCAATGGCATTGTTTTGTTTGTCAAGCAGCATGAGTGTCAAACTAATTGCATGTCCTGTTTCAAAATCAGGCAAGCTTTTAATTATTCACCATTATAGAACCCCCTGTCTTTAATTAATGAGAGATTTGTGTCACTGTTTGGTTCCTCTTTTCCCAAGCCTCAGATGAAGGTGTTTTGGTGTTCAGAAGAAGATGGTTAGTTTTCTCATTGCTTTAAAAGGTTCATTTATTTATTTTTGATTTTTCAGCTGCTCTAGATCAGCCTGAGATCTGGGGTTCAGTCCAGCCCGTCAACACAAGTGTAGAGTCCCCAAAACTTCCAAGACCTTTTCCAACTGGAAGTAAGTGACTGTGCAGGTTGTCAATCAAAAAATAATATATACAGAAATCAGGACAAATATTTGACTTTTCCTCATCTAGACTGTGCAATTCCATAACGTTTTATGTTTGAGGGTTTTTTTTCCCCTGGCTTGACTTGAGCTGCAGTACTGCAGGATGGAAGAAGGAATGGGATTGGGTGAGGGATGGGATGGACGGTACTTGGGATGGGAAAGAAGGGTGGATGGTACTCAGTGTGGGAGGTTATGCACATCCTCCCTTAGGATATGTGCCGCTGCCACGAGATCTGGGTTTCCAAGGTGAAACCTCTCCAGACAGGACGAATGTCGTGCTTGGAAGCTGTTGTAAAAGCCACGCTACCTTCAGAGGCCAGGAATACCAGATCATGCATGTTAATGATCTGGCTGGAGAGGTTGGAAACACTGTGGTTTTTTGTCTGGGTTAACATATGGAAGATCAGCACAACCCCAAATCCCTGATTTTTATTGCAGCTTTCCCCATTGCCTGAGGCAGCTGGGGGAACTGCAGCTTTTCCTCCTCCCAAGCCGCAAGGTCATTTTTTCCTCCTTTTCCTACTCTTCCCACCTCACTAGCCATGAGCCCAATGGATTTCATGCCAAACCCACCCCTGGCCCTGGTGCTGATGTCCCAAGGTCAAGGCAACTTCTGGGCACATCTCCACCTTCCAAGGGGACTGGGACACTGATGATGGAAACCACAGTACCTCACGGGCTGCTCCTCCAGGAGGTTTGGCCTTGGTTCTGATTTGCATCTGCTTGGCAAAAATGCCTCTGTAAAGCAGTACTGGTCAATTAGCCACTGTTAATTAGCCGGTGTTCCTGTTCCCCTGTGTGCATCCTGGCTCCATGTGGGATGGGCACATGAGAAACACAGAGGCAGATCTGTGCCTCAGAGGCTACAGGTTTAATTAAAATGGTAATTCAGGAGTTTAAAATGTGTGAGTACAGTCTGAGAATTAAAAGTGGGGGAAATAAAATTCATAAAACCCAGTAAACATGTCATTACACTGACAGAGGGCAGAGATAGATGGGATATCAGGAAGATATTATTCCCTCTGAGTGTGGTGAGGCCCTGGCACAGGTTGCCCAGAGAAGCTGTGGCTGCACCATCCCTGGAGTTGTCCAAGGCCAGGTTGGACGGGGCTTGGAGTAACCTCATCACTGTCATATCCCCCATTCCCAGTAAAACTGTGTTTCCTAAGACATTGTAACTGAATTTATTCCCCTCTCTGCTCTCTTGCAGCTCCTCCACCGCTCCCACCGAAGAACATCCCGGCCACGCCGCCGCGCACCGGCTCCCCCCTGCCTGTGGGAATAGGTAACACTAAGTGTGTGCCAGGGCACAGCCTGGGAGACTGATCTAGAGCCTCCAGGGGTGGTGCTGGGTGGGGGGTGGTTCCCCATGGCTGTGTTTGGGACACAGATTTGGTCCTTGTCCATCCTCTTCCCTTTGCGTTTGTAGAATTTCAGACTGATTTAGGTTGGAAGGGACCTTAAAGTTCGTCTTGTTCCAGCCCCTGCCATGGGCAGGGACACCTTCCACTAGAGCAGGTTGCTCCAAGCCCTGTCCAACCTGGCCTTGGACACTTCCAGAGATGGGGCAGCCACAGCTTTGTGGATGCTGCAGTTGGGGTGATGCTGTAGAAGCAGCACAAAGATGCCTTTGGCCCCCAGGTTTGTGTCATCCTGCTGAAATTAATGTTTTCTCCACTCTCCCTGACTTTGGGGTCAGTCACTCTGGAAATGCAATGCAGCATAAGCCTTAATATCCTGCTCAAAATTGGGAATATATAGAACCCTGTTACCACCTGAAGCAGCCCTGAATGGTCTGTGCTTATGGAGTAACAGGGCAGTGTCTACCTGTGTCAGGGAGCTGCTCCTGCACTCCCTGTCCCTCAGATTCTTACTGCTGCCAGGGAATGTGGGAAAAGCCCCTCCTGGTCTCACAGCCCGGGCTAGAGAAGAGAGAATGGAATGGTGCTGGGAATGAAGGACAACCTGAGGACAGGGAGGGAAAGGGATTGGTTGCAGCCAGAGAACATAAAGTGCTTATAAGTATATAATTCATGGTGCTGGCAGGGTGCCGTGTGATGGAGCAGCAGGATTTGAGGAGGGGATACAGTGCCTGGCCTTTGGATAGGACACTGCATGGGGACAGACAGAGCACCTTGGGATGAAATTACCTTTCCATGAAGAAATCCCCTGCTCTGACCTCACTGCTCTATCCATCAGCATCTCATTCATGCTCCCATATCTTGATTTTTTCCTATTTATTGGAGCTGCCAGGCTGGCAGAGTGTCCATCTCCATACATTGATTCATCCACAGGAGCAAATGTCAAGCCCAGCCATGTGTGTCGGTCTATTTGCTGGGCTCTGCCTTGTGCATCATGTAAAGCAAGAGGCTGAGGTCTACATTGTTTGTTTGAGAAAAATTCTATTTTATCCCAAATGTAGAACAGTAGATGGCTCCCCCAAACACAGGAGCAGAGGTGGGGTGATGCTGACACAAGGAGCCCAGAGGGCACAATAGTTTTAGGATCTCCCTTCCCTGGATATTTAACGTTTGGCTGATGGATCATCTCTGTGTTGGTCATGGAGTCAGATGGGAATGTTGGTGTGTGGTGCCTTGGTTAGTGAGCAGAGCTCTGAAATCCCCTGATCTGCTGCTGCTTGTGACTGAAGAACATTCACCCTGTCTGCATCCTGTGCTGCAAACCAGCATGTTCAAGTATATATATTTATACGTGTGTGTTTATAAATATATATATAGTGTGGGGTGTGCCAGAGCGCTGAGTGCATAAATTTAATATCTGCTGATAATCCAGAGTGATGGTAAGGACATGCTGTCATTTAGAGGACATGTAAAGGCTGTAACTTTTGGGATGATATAGTACTGTTGGATGTGAGTGATGGAGGAGCAGGGCTTGGCTCATGGTGCATGTTTACTCATCCAGCCTTTCGACCCAGTGTGGTTCATTATATGTTGCACATGGCCTGATGTAGAACTTTGTTGCACATGAATTATATTCCCCAGCATCTTATAAGAAACCATGTTTTTAGAGCATCTCCTCTAGAAGTAGCTGGCACAGAGCCCGTAGAGAGTAGTGCAGCCCTCGCTTAATGCCAAGTGTAAAATAACCTCCTCTGACCACAGGAGGGGACCAGGCAGCAGCAGAGCCCAAAAGGGACAAACTCCCGTCCATCAATGACTTGGACAGCATTTTTGGCCCTGTGCCGTCCCCCAAATCTGCTGCTGCAAACGCAGAAGACAAGTGGGTCAATTTTTCTGATCAATCCCCGGAAAACGCGGCTCCAGAGTTGACGCCCCGGGAAAAAGCGGGATCCCCGCCGGCGGCAGCGGCCGGTCCAGCCAATGCTCCCGCGGCGGAGCCCTCCCGCCCGCTGCCCTCGCCGCTGCACCTGGAGGAGGTTCACAAGAAGGTTTCTGAGCACCTGAAGGATGAGAACGTGGAGCCGGTGGCCTCTCCCAAAGATTTTGGGCCGGGACAGAGAGCGACCCCGCCGCCCCCTCCGCCGCCCACCTACCGCACGGTGGTCTCGTCCCCCGGACCGGGCGCCAGCGCGGGCAGCACCAGCGGTACGTCCCGCGGCCGTGGCTGTGCTTCGGGGGGGCCCTGAGCGCCTCCGGCGTCCCCTCCCGCCTGGCTGTGCCTGCGCCCGGGCCCGTCTCGTGCTTCCACGTCCGTCGTCTGCCCTCCGCCTCCTGTGTCCTCCCCCTGCTCCTCGCTGCGTGTCTCGTGGTGGGATGGGGCTGATGATCTTTCCCCAAAGCTCCCGAGAGCCGCCCTTCCCACCTCTGCCGTGCACAGAATTTGGGATGGGGTTGCCATTGCTGCAGCTCTGTCCTCAGTAGGTTTGAGTAAACATATAGTCAGAAACATTTCAGGCAAATAATCTGAGCAAGCCTCAGCTCCAGGGTCCTTTAAATCTGTTGCAGACAGGTCACCACACACTGTCACCCACCCAGCTCAGAGGTAGCACAGGTCTGGACAGTGCTTGGTCCTTTTTGGCTCTGAGTGTGAAGAGCCAGGAGAAATGTCTTCTAGGGTGAGCCTCTCCCAGGGCAGAACCTGATTGGTCTGTCTGGCATGTGCTGGCTGCCTGCTTAATTATAAATTATTATTATTAATTATAAATGTCAGTGCCCATTAGGGCAAATGAGCTTGGTGCAGGTCAACTTACACACACTTTCTGAGAGTGTTTGAGGGGGTGCAACCTGAGCCTGTTGTTTTAGGGGCTGACCCCCAAGGGTACTTACTGGCCACCTGTGCTGCCATCCTGCATCCACCAGAAGTTATTTTTGAGGGAATTACCCCCTCAGGGCCCTGAAGAACCTCCACCCAGGTGGGGGAGGTGAGGGGTGTGTTGGGTGTGCAGCCCCCAGACCTGTCCCCCAACATGTGACACCAGCCTCATGGAAGCTTGGAAGAAGTGTCATTCCTCTGGGTTGTCACCTCCATGGAAGGGGTGTGGAGGGGCTGCTGCGGGTGTCCCACCATGTGAGGCTGGTGCTGCAAGTGTGGCTTTGCTTCAGTGATGGTGGCTTTTCTGTGCTGGGAGGGTGGGAATCCATGTGGAGGCTGCTAGTGGCAGTGGTTGGAGCTGGGACTTCTGGAGTTTGGCAGCAGGAAACAGCAAGATTCTTCCACCATGCTCTCCAACCTCATGCCAACTGAGTAGCTCCTTGTGGGAGTGAAGAGCCACAGGATGGGGACATGCCAGGGCTCCCCATGTAGGGATGGATGGAAGAGCTGTTGTTTCCAAGAAGATCCATGTCTCTTCTTCAGGAATTGCCTCCTGTCTCAGTCTGGACTGCTTTACATCCCACTGTCACCTCAGCCTTCCCTAGTGCAGCAAGCTGGAAAATGCAAAGTGTTAACATACCCACAGAAAAGTTGTGCAAATATTCCAAAAGCTGCATCCCCTGGCAGATGGATCCAGCATCCCTCACACTCCTCTCCACCTTTCCAAGGCCCCTGGTGCTGCATTTGGTCCTGGGCCTGTCCAGTTTTTGGATGCTGGGGAGCAGAGCCATCCCAGGATGCCCTCCTGCCTTCACATCCCATGGGAGCCTGGGCTTGTAGGTGTCACTGAATCAGGGCTGGGGATGGGTGTAGACTCATCGTGGAATGGTTTGGGTTGGAAGGGATCTCAAAGCTCATGTCATTCCAACTCCTTGCCATGGGAAAGGACACCTTCCACCAGACCAAGTTGTGCCAAGCCCAGCATCCCAGCAGGCTTCCGATCTCGTGCTTATTTCCACACACTGCCACAGTTTCTTGTGGCAGGAAATACCTATTCTGGGATGGAAGCCAATGTCTGGCAGGTCTTTGGCTACCTGGCGGTCACAGAACACTCCCTTGAAGGCTCCATCCTGCCACACTCATTCACTGCCACAAGGCTACTTTCCCTGAATAATTCCTAATTTATCAGGCTTTTATTGGGATAAGTAATGAAAAATTCAGACTCTGATTCCCAAATTAGGCTTTTAATTAAAAATGGCTTGTACTTTGAAGTTGTGCCAAAGAATGACTGGAATTTACTCTGTTTAAACAAGCCTCTCTCTTGGCTTAGCCTGCTCTCCTTTACCTCCTGGTCTCATTTCTATAGATCTAGCTTTGGTCTTTCCTTAATCTGAACTATCACCCAAAAAATGTAGGAAATTATTCTCTTGTAAGTCAGAAAAATAAAGCCAAAGTCCTTGTCTTATCATCAGTCTGAGCCAAGCATGGAGCTACTGAACTCCATGGAGACTAGTGGCAAATGCCGTGTCAGTTGTCCTGGGAATGGGGTCTGAATTTCCTCCCACTCCTTGTGCCCCTCATGTCATGGTGCCATCTCTGACTGCTCTGTACAACACCAATTATTGCTGAACTTCTTCAGGAAGGAATTTCTGTGCATGGAGCAAAAGTCTCCTGGATATTCTGTAAAGCATTGGTCAAAATTTCCATCTGATTACAAAACTTCCCCTACACAGCAGGACAGCAACCGCTGGGGACCATGTGAACCCTGAGATCAACATCACTTCTGCAAGACTCTTCCAGAGGGTTGGGAGATGTTACACTCCCAGCAAAACTCATAACCTTTCTGTTCTGCCCTCTCCCCTCTTGCTGGGACAAGGCTTTGCCCCTACTACTCATCCTTTCCACCAGTTGTGCCAGCCCTAGAGCTGTGGCACCAGCACCAGCTGCTGCAGGGCTTCAGCATCATATTCCTCCTGCCTACATCTGCTTTTTGGGAAAGCCATAAGTCTCCTCTGATAACAATTTTGCCTAAAGCTCCCTGGCTGAGGGAGCGGGATATTGGGCAGCCCTTGTGAGGAATTCTTCAGCATCAGCAGTCCTGGAATGGTCTGTGCCCTGGTGTGGGGCTGTGGTCACGGGGAGCTGTGTGGGGTGTGCATGGGCACCCCTGGGTGGGTGGAGGATCTGGGGTGGGGAGCGCTGGGGGCACTGTCTGTGCGGTGCTCACGGCTCCCGTTTGTTGCAGGTTCCTCGTCGCCGGCTCGCCCTGGAACGCCACTGGCCACCTGTGGCACCCCCCCGCCACCGCCCCCCCGGCCCCCCTCCCGGCCCAAGCTGCCCCCCGGCAAGCCCCCCATCGCTGACGTGGTACGTTGGGAGGGAGCGGGGGGCGGTGGGTGGCATTCTCAGTCCTGACATGGATAACGGAACAAGTGACTGGCGGGGGCTGCCAGGGCAGGTTGGGGTTTTCTAGGATTTGTCCACTGAGGTAGGTTCCACCTGGGAAGGGCTGTAACTGCTTCTGGTTGTCCATATTACGTATCTGGTTATCACGCACGTGGTTATCAGGTAGCCCAGCCTGGTAATGCCAAGTGCAGGAAAACCATGGTCTGCAGTCGTGACAAAAGGCAGAGAATGCGGTGGGGCAGGAGTGGGAAGGGTTTGGGGGTAAAGCAGTGTGGATCCAGCTGTCCTGGGAACGGTAGCTGGCTCAGGGGGATGCAGCAATCTTTGGTGGGACTGCCCAGCAATCTTAGGTGGGGTGTTCACCACCGCGCCATCTGGGCTGTGACGTTCTAGTTTTGGATTCAAGATTTGAATAAAAAAATCATTCCTAAAGGACCCATAAGGACCTGATAAGCTGCTCCCTGGTGAGATGGCACCAGATGGCACCGCTCCCTTCTCAATACTAAGTGCATTCCATCCATCCCGTGACCTCTGGAGGTCCCATCCTCAGCGTGGATGGGAACTTCAAACACCCAGGCCCACGTGATGGTGGGAATCACCTCTCATTTTTCCAGGTCTTAGCTCTAAAAGAACTAAAGTCATTCCCTTTACTCCTCTGGGATGCCAGCAGAGCAGCTGGCTGGAGTTCCTGAGGTTCACGGCTTCAGGGAAAAGCTTGTTTGTTTGATGCAAACGTGTCTGTGTTTTCTTTAACCTTGTGTTATTTTATGTTTTTCTACAGTCCAGGCCTTTTAGCCCTCCTATCCACTCATCCAGCCCTCCTCCGATAGCACCTTTAGCCCGTGCTGAAAGTACTTCTTCCATATCTTCCACCAATTCCCTGAGTGCAGCCACCACTCCCACCGTTGGTAAAAACATACAGCTCTGCTGTTCTTTCACCTTTCCTACCTCTAAATGTCCTTAAATGATTCTTGAAGCCTTTTGATTTGCTAGATTATTCTTTGGGTTCACATTAATTACTTTTCATCAGGTTTTTTAAGTGCAAAAAGGGATTTGAGGGGGCATGATGCATCAGGAGGGTGATGCTGTCAGGCAAGCTTTGGGGCAGCTCCAAATGTTGTGGAAAATAGATGTTTGGTGGAAGTCAAGGTTATCACCAAGGGAAATATATCATAAAATACGGTTATGGTCCGTAAATTTGAGCAAAATAAGGTTTTTTTGCAGGAGATGCTTGTGCCGGGAGGGGGGCTGGAAGCCAGACCTTGGGATCTGGGAGACAATTTTAAATCTTTTTGAATGTCTTAATTTTGCACTTTCCTTTAAAGTGGTAGTGGGAAATGGGATCTTGGAAAAGGCTCTTCCAAACCATTTAGCTTGGCACGTCCTAAGGCAGAATAAAGTACTGCAGTTTTCTTTTGGAGGAATGTCCTGAAAAACATGGGGTTTGCCAAACCTCCTGGGTGCCTGAGACAAGCAATGGGAATAAAGTCTGGCTGGCAGCTCCCAGGCTCCAGGCGCTGGGTCCCCCTGTGCCTCCCTCCTCCATTCCCTCTGTCCCCACCTCCCTTCCATCCCGGTTGCTGGCACTCCGTCTTCTGCCATCACTGCTATCCCACCTGGCTGCCAGCCCTACTGTTCCTCGCTTCCTGCAGCTCCATCTTCTCCAGGATCTCCTTCCTCCTTTCTCTTTTCTTTCCAACCCTCCAAAAACCCAGCCTGGCTGGTTGGTGTGTACTTAGCCGCTGGCCTGGCTGTGGCATTTGTCACCAGCTGTCACCTCACAAGTGGTGGCATCACCACGTGTGATGGCTGGAAGGTGCTGGGTGTCCTGAGCCGTGTGCCAGGCGCTGTCCCCGCGGTGCCAGTGGCACTGAGCCCTCCCTGTGGGTTTGCTGGAGTCTCCAACCTGCGTCTCCATCCTGTTGTTTGCTTCACTCTCAAGGTGTCGTAGGTGCTTGTACTTGTTCGCCGGCTGTTGGTCACTGTCACAGCGTGTTGCTGGAAAACAAAACACCTGGAGAAAGGGGCAGCCAGCCCTGAGCATTCCCAGTGTGTTGGTCCTGTTTGTGCCCGCTGTCCCCCACGATGCCAGTGGGATTGGCACAGTGCCTGCCGGCACAGTGGCCACGGGGCACCTGGGACTACGGTTTTGGTGGGGGGACCAGCCAGGCTGAGGACAGGGATGGTTGTGGGGGCTGCAGGAGGGTGGGAAAGGGGACGTGTGGAGGATGCATGCTGGTCCTGTCAGCTGAGCAGGTCCCTCAGGCTGTCATATAAATTTATTTTTTTCTCTCTGACGCGTATGTTTTTATGAAAAAAAACTGCTGCTTGATGTTTTTAATGACCTACCCATGCTGAGCAGTGGGGATGACATTGCTGGGGGGGTGAGAAGCTGTGCCCGGTAGCAGTAGCATCTCCCACCCTCTCCATGGGGGATTTTCCTTGCAAGACAGCTGAAATCAGGGCTCTGGGGTCACCCCTGGACTTGGGAACTCCAAATGGGGCAGCCAGGAGGAGCACCCCAGATTGCAGCTGTTGTACTTCCAGCTCCATACAGACTAAATCATAGAATTCTGGAGTATCTTGAGTTGGAAGGGACCCATCAGGATCATTGAGTCCAACTCCTGGTCCTGCACAGGACACCCCAACATTCCCACCATGTGCCTCATAGTATTTTCCAAACACCTCTTGAGCTCTGGCAGCCTTGGTGCTGTGACCACTGCCCTCGGGAGCCTGTTTCAGTGCCCAGCCACCCTCCGGGTAAAGAATCCTTACCTAATATCCAACATAAATCAAGCAGCGGATGCCACATTGCCAGGATTTGGCTTGGGAAAAGCTGGTTGGGGTAAGGCAGGAGCAGATGGGGTTTGGGACCCGCTCAGGGAAAGTCCAAGCATCTCCTTGTCCCCACCAAGGCGAGGGTGGGCATTGGTGCTGGATGAGCATCCATGAAAATCCATAGTGAAGGAGGGAGCACTTCTGATTCCTGGGGATTTTTGTGGAAAGAGGAAAAGCTGAAGTGGAAGGTGTGCAGGGATGGGCAGGTCAAGGACCACTGTGGGTCCTGGGGGGCTGGGACAACCCAACCCAGCTGGGGCTGCCTGCAGCCCTGTGCTTACTACAGGGTCTATCTCCAATACTCTCCCCGTCTTCTGTTTCCTGTGGCAAAGTCTGATGGAGTTTGTCCAAGAGCATGTGAAGGGTTGCTCCATTTCCATGTTGTCCATGCTGCTCTGGTGTGCTTTTCCCATGGTTGCATGTCAGTCTGAATAATTTCGGGCAAAGAAAGAAGCTGTTGCTCCTGTGTCAGTGCCCCTTCCCTCATTTCTCTCGTTAAATCACCTCTCTGTCTCTCCATTGATACAACGCGCTGCTTGGTTTCAGTTGGGATCCGTGTTCTCATTCTTTGTGTTTGTTTTTTTTTCTTTCCTTTGCGTTTCTTCTGCTTGTGTTATCAGAGGATGATGCTTTTATTGACAAACTGCCCGCGTTTGAAAGGCGCAGTGAAATGCCGGCAGGTACTGTACTGGCAGGGAGCTTTCCAGACAATCCGCCTTCGGAGCGGGCGACACCCAACGCTCGCATCACCTTGCATGACAGTTTCTCAGTGACCAAAAGGACTTTGAGGTGGAAGGCTGTCACCTCCTGAATTCAAAGAGCTTAATTTAACAGCTCCAAAAGCTGTTTCCCCCCACACACCCCGAGTTATTTCAGCAGTACCTGGAGTCCAACGTGGCTTTTGAGGTGGTGTGAGAGCAGGGAGCTGGTGGTTGTGATGGGAAAAGGAAGATTCCAGCTAGGCAGCTGCTGCTCTGTGTGCGTGTGTCTGGTTATCTGCAAGTGTAATGTCCTGAAATGCAACAGAGAACACTCCATTTCACTGTCACTGATTGTGCACACCGGTGTGGCATGTGGAGCAGCATCCCACCGGGAATGCTGGCGGAGACGACGCCGGAGGCGAGGAGGACACGGCATGTTTGCCCAGATCAGCGCAGTTAGAACATGCTGATGGAGTGCATGAGCCGACAAGCCTCTTCTACTGTAGCCAAAAAAAGAGAAAACCTCTCAAAACTCCTTACCAAGCAAAAGGACTCTTCCATCTGGGCTTCCATAGCTTTGCTTTCTGCTTTCTGTCTCCCAAGCCAACGCCCGAGTTTAAAGCCCCTGTCCCTGCACGTGAACGGCTTGCAGCGCCTCGCCCCCTCCCCGTAGTGAGATAAATGACCTGCTCTGTGACTCACACTGTGTCCTTCTCTCTCCCTCTCCTTAACCTGTCCCATCCCGCTTCAACTCCTGGCCATACAGAGAATGAACAGCCTTCCCTCGTTTGGTTTGACAGAGGAAAGTTTTATTTGACTTTCGAAGGTAAGTAGTGCATAGCATACCCTGTAACGACTCGCTCCCCCTGCTCTCGCTCTCTCACTCCCGGGGTTCCCTCCCAAGGCTCCATCCAGTCCAACTTTCCATGCGAAATGCTATGGCTACTTAGATGACATCGCAAGTTCAACCAGAACAATTTTGATTTGATTTGTGCCATTTGTCCCCGTGATCTCTTTCCTCGTTTATTTATTTTCTAAAAAAAGCCAACCCAAACAAAGCAAGACCCAAAAGAACATTCTGAATATTCCCGTACGGAGGCTGCGGTGAAAACCAGAGAGCGGAACCGCTTGCACTGCCAAGGAACTTGACTCTGTCAACCAGAGCTTCTCTCTACTCTCCCTCACGAGCTGCTCGTTACCCTGAGTGGGCTGGGCCACGTGCTGTTAATTAACATCCAAAGGATGATGGGTTCTCTGCCAAGCTGGGGCCTCCTCCCCACCTCCCACCAGGTTTTTTGGCAGTGAAGGGTTGGGAGCTGAAACACCAGCAGGTTGTGCTGCTGGGGTGGCTGCTTGAAGGTCTTGGGGCTTCTGGGGTCCCCCGTAGATGAGAAGGATGCAGGGAAGGGAAAAACTTCTTGTTTGTTCTCCAAGCAGCATCAACTCCCAGGTAGGGCAGAGCTGTAGGTGGCTGGGCAGCCAGTCCCACTCCGAGAGCGCCAAGGCTTTGGGGGAAGCCTCATCTCACATTTTGCTTTTTAAAAACAGAAATAAAAGCAGGAGGTTTGCTTGCAGCAGGAATAGGTGCTTTTAATCGCCAAGCAAGCAGTTTGGAGCTGTTGTAGAGCTTGCAGGCAGGGCTGGAGTGAGCTGGAGGATGCTGTTGGCACAGGACATGCCAGAGCACTGTTTCCACATGTGAGTCCCAAAGTGTGTCCATCCCAGAAAAATGCCAAGTGGCCTGGGATGGGTACTGCCAGGCCAGTGAGGATGGGCTTGGAATCACGGAGCAAAGCCCATCCTGGTGAGAGTGATGGAGTAGCAGCAGCAGAAGGCAGGAATTGAGGTGGCATTGACCAGGGAGTTGGTTCCTTCCTTTCCTCCCTTTTTGTTGGCCCAAGGTCCCTGCTCCAACAGTCCCTGCTTTGATGGTCCTAACTCCAACAGCAGCTCCCAGCTTAGATCCAGGGGGAGCTGCTTCTTCCTGGTGCTCATTGCCATTTTGCTGTTCCCTGCAAAAAACCCTTCCTGGGTTTCCCAGGTGCCACCTGCCTGTCCAGAGCTCCAGAAAGAGCTGAGGACAGCAGGGACAATGTTATCCTGCAGCACAAGTATTCCAGCACTGTGCATCCCCCTGCTCTGTGCTTCCTCCTCCCCTCGCTCAGTCCAGCACCAGCCCTGCGAGCACATCCACCTCTTGGGGGTTTTCTTGTGGTTTTGAGTATTGAAGTTATTGGAATTCTTTGACTTGGTTCTAGCAGTGTGAATGGTGTGGAGAAGGGAGTGGGTTTGTCCTGGAATGCCAGCACAGCAGCAGGCCTGCAGGAGTATGGCACTGCCTCTGGGCTCAGGTCATGTTCCAGAAAGGAGTTATCTCACTTTCACACACTGTATTTCCTGATTTATTTCTAAATATCTATGTCCAACTTTTAAAAAAACCCCGAACTTCAATGCTCATCTGCAGGGAAGTGAGAGGAGACCTTTTGTGTTTGGCATCTGAAACTCTCAGGACATGGAAGGCCAGAAGAGTAAAAATAGTTTCTTTCTGAATTTTGAGGGTTTTTTGTGACAAGATCTGTGTATTTGCTGAACATGGGGTAGTTTATTTGTGTGTGAAAAGATTTGGTGATGCTCTCCTGGCCAGGGTTGCTGTCACTCATGTCTCCTTATTCCACAGCTGTATTTTCCACTTTTGCATAGGGAAAAATAAGGCAAATGAACCTAGTTTGCTGCTTATGGCTGGATTCAAAGTGCCATAAAATGGATTTGGGCTTTTTTCTCCATTATTGTCTGGTCATTTGCCCAAATGAAAAGCTTCTAAAAATTACTTTTGAATCAGTCACTAAAAAGCCAGGTTTTGGGTGGACGTGTGCCATGGTAACTGAATTTGTCTCGTGTTTCTGGAAAATCATGTCATTGCTTCAAATAGATTATACTTTTCTTTTTTAGTAAAAACCTTAGTGTCAAAGGTTATTTATTCTCTGAAGCGATTAAGAGAAGAATATGCAGGTTCATGAAGAAAGTGGAGGGAATCAAGAACCTCAATTCCATCCACATGATTTTTATTCAAAGCCGGATTAGAAATGAGGATGTTTTGTTGCAGTTGCTGCTCAGGTGAACTCAGATTCCCACAGCCTGGCTGAGCCTGGTAATGGGGATCCATGAGACCAGCCCATTTGTTCCTGTAGAGATGATTTTTCATTCTGGAGAATAAAGGAATCTTATATATGTGCAGAGGAACATGGGGAAAAAGAGATGGGAAATCAGGGAAAAGGTGCATTGGTATGAGAGACACCTGCCCTTCATTCCATGCTCTGGTGCAGGGTCCAGGCTAGACTCAGCTGCCATTATGAGGTGGTTTTAGTCCTCTCCCAAGGAATAATGATTATATTGCTAGGGATTGCATGTGGGCAGCTAAAGCCCTTCTCACCTTCCCTATGAGACAAGCCTGATGCTCCTCTGCTGGGTGTCACCTCCGGTTTTCCCCCTCCATAACCGGCCTGCACTGACACTTTTGAATCCCATCTGTATTTCTGAGTGGATGTGATGGGAATATCCCACTGGATTTGGCTGGAGGTCATTGCTGAGGGTGTGGGGAGCAAGAATCACCCAACAGTGGTATTATGGAAAGAATTTATCTAAAATATGTTACCCCAGCAGTCCATGGTGCTGCTGCTGCATGTTCTCTCTGTCACAGAGCCAGGAAATCAGCGTGTCCCATGGGTTTGGGGAGCTGCCCATGCTCTCACACATGGCTGGCACTGGCATGACCACTCTTCAGCGGGATGTTCATCCTAATGGATAGCTCGGGGCTGTGGCCCCAGGAGCAGAAGGCTTGGGGAGCCACAGGCTGCCCCACTGGGCTCATTAGGATAATTAATGTGTGTGTGGTGATGGGTCTGTTGTGTGTGGATGAGATGCTCCGGCTGCCCATCCCATGTGCTGGGACACTCAGATACCATTCCTGATTATCCTCATTCTGGGCTGCAGCTGGAATCACTTATTCCCCTGGGCCTCTTAAGATGCATGACTGAGGTATAGACATGGCTACATGAATTTTTTACACCCTTTTATGCTACATTAGAGATTTGAAGGGAAAACCCCATCACTGGAAGGGCTCATCTGTGCCTCTAGGAGAGAGCACTTGGGATTTATCCATTAACGCACAGGTGCCTGGGTAAGGTGTTAGGAATCCTCCTTGTTGGCAAATATCACAATTTTTTCAATTAATATATCGAAACTCAAAGTGTGATTGAAGTGACGGAGATGTTTTCCCCAGGAGATGTTATGAACCCCAGTTTTCTGCACCCAAACCCTGTTATTTACTCGCAGTGGTGGGAAGCAGCAGATAAAGAAGGGGAGGGATAATTTTGGAGGATAGCCCAAGCAGAAGAGCAGGAGCTCATCAGGAACATGCCACATTTCGCTTTGCTTTCCCCTGGCCCTGCTGCCTGTGGAGGTGCTGCCCTTTCCTGGGCTGGCATTGGAATTCCTGCAGCTTTGGCTGGAGCTGGCATGTGCTTGCATGTTCCAAACAAACTCCAGGCTGGATTCATCGCCCCTTTCACCTGCCTGACTCAGACCCTGGCGATGAAGGTGACGGAGTGAGGGGTGTTGTGGTCCCTGGGTAAGGTGCCCCTCTGGAGATCTTTGTCCTTCCTGGTTTGGGGCAGAATAATCCTTGTGCTTAACCTGATGTACAGAATGTGATGTAAACAAAAAGGTCCCAAAACGGTGCATTGCAGGAAATAGATGAGGCTGAACCACCAGTGCAAGGGCAGGGGCGTGACCTCTCCAGGATTTTTTGGGTGTCCACGGGTTTAGCACCTTGTACATTGGGTAGGTGACCTGACACTAACCCTGGGCTGATCTTTGGACACTTTCCATGGGGAAAAGGTGACGACTTTGCTGTGCCAAAAGCACCTTAGACTCCCCTGGTGGTGGGCACAGGGAGCAGGATGTTGTCTCCCATGCAGGGTTTCCAGCACACTTGGGGCTTCTGAGGTGCACTTGCAGTGAAGATTTCATCTTCAAATTCTTTTGGAGACAAGAATTCCTGGTCAGCAAAGGGAAACCTGCGAGTGATCCTGCAGGGCTAATTATTTTAGAGTCTGGGGTGTCCGTGGATGCACAGCATGACCAAAGCAAACTTTTTCCCTTTATTTTAATCATGGAATCCTAGAATGGTTTGGGATGTCAGGGACCTCAAAGCCTATCTTGCTCCAGCCCCTGCCATGGGCAGGGACACCTTCCACTAGACCAGGTTGCTCCAAGCCCATCCAACCTGGCCTTGAACACTTCCATGGATGGGGCAGACACAACTACACTGGCCAGCCTGTGCCTCTGTCGTTTCAGATTTTTGATGATTTTCAGATTTTCTGTGGGGTACTGTGGGATTTGTGGGGTGAGCAGGGAGTGAAGGTCCTCTTGGCTCACTGGGCAGGAGAGGAGAGGAGATTGCAGGAGTCTCCGCAGGTTGGGGTTCAGGCATCATGAGACTGCTGACACCCCACTTTCCCACAGGCAGCCTGAGCTCTCCGGTGAAGAGACAATGAACCCCCCTAGCCCCTTTTTCTGGGGCTCAGAGACCAACTGCAAAAACTGTCATGCAAAGCCTGCCGTGTGGCAGCCCCCACGCCGGGGGGCCACGGCCCTGCATGCTGCTCCTGCCTGGGGCTCCTCCATCATTTTCTTTGCTTGCTTTTGGAGGGGGAGGGAAAGATAATTTAAAACTGTTTTTAAAGCCTCATCCAAAGCCTGGGGGATTTTTTGTTATTATTTGCCCATGAAGTGAGGCTGGGGTTCCTGGTGAGCACCCCCTCGCCCTGGGCCGGGGAGAGTGGGGCTGTTCATCTCTGTGGTCCCAAGTGGGGGTGTCTGCTCTGTTGCAGGGTCATCACGGGGGCCCAGCCCCCTCACCATGGGGGCACAGGACACCCTGCCTGTCGCTGCCGCCTTCACAGAAACAGTCAATGCGTATTTCAAAGGGGCCGACCCCAACAAGTAGGTGCTTACCAATGGGGTCTGGATGTTGATATGGGGGTTCTGGGACTGCAACAACTTGGGGTGCATCCTGAGGGTTTGGGAGGGAGGACAGGAGGTGCTCTGGGCTCAGCACGTGCACGTTGGGGTGTCACTGCACTGCACCAGGTGGAGGTCCAGCATCAGGACACTCCTGCAGTGCCCCATGACCATTGTCCCTGGCGGGCTGTCAGCCTTTGTGCTTCTTCTGCTCACTCTGAGAATGCAACAGTGTCATTACCTGGGGTGGGAACTGGGGGGCTGTCACCACCATCCTTGGTGCAAGTCCTCCCCTCGTGCTTCATTTTGAACCTCCCTTTCCTGACCCTCCGTCTCTGTGTCTGGCACTGCAGGTGTATCGTGAAGATTACGGGGGAGATGGTGCTGTCATTTCCAGCAGGCATCACCCGACACTTTGCCAACAATCCCACTCCGGCGGTGCTCACCTTCCGTGTGCTGAACTACAACAGGCTGGAGCATGTCCTGCCAAACCCCCAGCTCCTCTGCTGGTAAGGACCCACCTTGCCAGCGTCCCAAATGAAGGCGGGTTTCCAGAAAACTAGGGGACTTTATAAAAAAACACAGACCCATGCCAGGTAGAAGAGCACCAGCAGTGAGGAGCCAAGTGCTTTGTTTGTCCTTTGCTCTGCTCATTAAACCTCCTCTTTGCAAAATGAGATGACCTATGGGTTATATTTGCTGTGCCTCCCCGGAGGCAGCTGAGGACAAGCCAGAGATGTGTGGGAGGCAGCCAATATTCCCATAGATGTGGGATTGAGTGCAGTCACTCACAGCTGGTGGCTACTGTCCCATGTGCTTTGTAGAACAGCTTTCTCCTGCCAAGGCAGGTTCTGTAAAGGGTTAACTCTCTCTGTCTGCAGTGACAGCGTGCAGAGTGACACCAACTCGAAGGAGTTCTGGGTCAACATGCCAAATCTGATGACTCACCTAAAGAAGGTATCGGAACAGAAACCGCAAGCCACCTATTACAATGTGGATATGCTCAAATACCAGGTAGGGGTTTTTTGTAAGATAAAACTGTGCCAAAAAAACCTCTGCTGAATTATAGACGTAAAAGCTGGTGTTTCCCTAGTGCAGAGTGTAGCTAATGTGAGGTGGGGGCATGTTATCCCTTTAGTCCCTTCTTGTGGCACTAGATTGTCTGGCTTTGAGCCTAGTATGGAGTTTTGGTGGGAGTACAAGGTATTGCCTCCTCTGAAACCGAATGCGATGAGCGCGGCTGTAAAATGGGACTTCTCCCTTCACCCCTATGGAAACTAAATGTTTTTTCTGTCATTTTGGAAGGTATCTGCCCAGGGTATTCAGTCTACTCCATTAAACCTTGCAGTGAGCTGGCGGTGTGACCCTGCAAGCACTGATCTCCGCATCGACTACAAATACAATACAGAGGCAATGACCACACCGGTAGCTCTAAACAATGTCCAGTTCCTCGTCCCCGTCGATGGAGGAGTAACCAAACTTCAAGCTGTGCTTCCTCCTGCTGTCTGGTAGGGATTGAGCTCCTTCCCTCTCTCTGCTGTGTCCCTGCCTAGAACTGCAGGAGCAGGCTCGATTCAGGAGGATCTGTGGGTAGGAGCTGGGGGCACACTAGGAACCGAAACCTTCCCTCCTCTTGCAGGAGGAAGGCTGCAACCCCACTGTGATTTATTTTTTCTTGCCATTCCCACAAGAAAACGGTCAGAGATGAATGCATGTGTGTGGGCAGCAGAGCATCAGCCCTTATTTTGTGTTATGGCTGCTTTTTCCAGGGCTCAGAGGGGTGCAGGGCCATCACTGCTATAGGCCCTGGCACAGGTTGGCCAAAGAAGCTGTGGCTGCCTGCCTCATCCCTGGAAGCATCCAAGGCCACGTTGGACAGGGCTTGGAGAAACCTGATCTTGTGGGAGGTGTCCCTGTCCATGGCAGGGAGTGGAATGAGATGAGCTTTGAGGTCCCTTCCAACCAACCCAGTCTGGGATGCTGTGATCCTATGGAGATATGCACAGCTGTTGCTCCCATAGGCAGTCGCATGAACATTTCCAGGAGGGCACAGCACTGCCTCTTGCCCATCGCTCACCTGCAACCCAAGGACAGCATTTTCCTGCTCAGCTCATACAATCATAGAATTATATTGGTTGGAAAAGCCTTCTAAGACTATCAAGTCCAGCCATTAACCCAGCTCTGCCAAACCCAAATCCAAGCTCCCAGAACTGCAGCTCCAGAGAGCAGCACTGGAGCAGGTCGCCCCCACCACCAGCCCACACAGCCTTTAGCAAAATTCAAATGACTTCTTGGCAATTTCTTGTTTCCTACAGAAATGCTCTTCTTCATTTGTTTTCAGGAATGCTGAACAGCAAAGGATATTGTGGAAGATCCCTGATATCTCTCAGAAGTCAGAAAATGGAGGTAATCCTCAAAATATGCATGTTATTAACTCTGAATCCTTAAATCAGACACTGACCCGTTTATCATGCCGGCACACAAGCCCAGACACACAGATTCCTGCTGGGGCTTGCCAGGGAGAATGCTATTTAAAGCAGAGCTTAGAAAAGCAGGGCTACGTGCCACTGGTGCTGCTTTGCCAAGTGCCTTGGCATCACAGAAGGGTATTAACACACCAGGTTTGGACGTGGTGGTTTGCCAAGTCCTTTTTCCCTTGACCTTCTGTATTTGAAGGCTGAGGCCCCACATTGTGTCCCCATTGAGGTGACCACAGTCTCCCACAAGTGGCTTCTCCATGTGTAACCCACATACTCAGCTGCTTCTTATCGCTGGGGTGTCTGAAAAGTCAAATTCTGCTGGGAGGATGAGAGGAGTTTGCCTCCTGCCCCAGGGATGCTGGAGGGTTGGGGAGCCCCATGAGACTGGGCTTCACTTGTGATGCTTTGGGCATCTCACAGAATCACAGAATATGTGAGTTGGAAGGATCATCAAGTCCAACCCTCAGCCCTGCACAGGATCCACAAGAGTCACACCATGTGCCCCAGAGTATCATCCAAATACTCCTTGAGCTCTCTCAGCCTTTGTGCTGTGACCACGGCCCTGGGGAGCCTGTTCAGTGCCCAAGCACCCCCTCGGGGGGAAGAACCTTTTTCTAAGATCCAACTTAAACCTTCCCTGACACAATTTCAGGCCATTCCCTGCTACTGGTCCCCACAGAGCAGAGATCAGTGCCTGCCCCTCCTCTTCCCCTCCCCTGTAACTGCAATGAGGTCTCCCCTCATTCTCTTCTTCTCCAGCTTAACAGACCAAGTGCCCTCAGCCGCTTCTCACACAACTTCCCCTTAAGGCCCTTCCCCATCTCTGTTGCCCTCCTTTGAACACTCTCTAATAGTTTCGTATATTTCTTATATCATGGCGCCCAATATAAGGAACATTTTAAGCCATTAGAGAGCTTTGCTGGCAAACCCAGTGCTGGGGTGCTCCATGTGCCTCTCCAGGCTTGTAAGGGTTTCATGTGGCACTTCCATTGCAGGTGTGGGGTCTCTGCTGGCCCGGTTCCAGCTGTCAGAGGGGCCGAGCAGCCCGGCCCCGCTGGCCGTGCAGTTCACCAGCGAGGGCAGCACCCTGTCCAGCTGCGACATTGAGCTCGTGGGCGCCGGGTACCGCTTCTCCCTCATCAAGAAAAGGTTTGCAGCAGGTAGGTGCCTCACCAGCGCTCCTCTCTGCCTGTGCTGGGATGCTGGGAATGCTCCTGCTGTGTATTTGTTGGCTGCTCAAGCCCAGAGCTCCTGCCACAGCTCAGTGTGATGGGGCTGGCTGGGGACAGAGAGGCAACAGCTCCACTGCATGACATAAATCCTGCTGCCACTTATGGGAGCCTGGAATTTCATGGGCTCTTTCCTGCTCAGGTGTTCCTCCATGAAAGGCAAGGTCTGGGATCTGCTGCAGAGAAATACAGGGATTCTTCCATGTATTACACTGCTGCAGAGAAATACAAAGATTTTCCCGTGTGCCCTGTGGGAGCGGGGCTGGCGGAGGTGGGCAACCATCCCTTAGGAACCAGGGCTGCTCCCTCCCCTCAGTTGATTTCTGATCCCATTTCTAGGTAAATACTTGGCTGATAACTGATGGAAGCTTATGCAAGTCTGTGGAAAATACTATGGAAAATACCCAAGGACTGCTGTGTGTGGAACGGGTTTTAACTACAGTTTAAGGAAAATGAACTAAATCCTGCACTTGGGACATTTCTGTTGGAAGTGTCGACAACTTTCAGCATTTTTTTTCCTTGGAAAACACCGTCTTGACCAGTCCTACAGTATTTACTTCTAGATGTAACATTGTTAATGGTTTTAAAATGTAATTATTGTATTTGTAAATTGTACTCATTCCAGTAAGGCTGTATTTTGGCAGTTAGACACTTGAGTTTTAGCATTTTACCATTCATGAAATGGATGTAATTTAAACTGTGGTATATAAATCTAATAGTAGTACTGTTGAATGGCACAATGCTTACAGAGGTAGATTACATTTTGTCAATATATACAATTTAAATACAATACTGGTAGCTGTTATGAAGGGGGTGCCTCATCAAAAGAGAGTTCAGTAGAGCCCACATGCTGATTTACTTTCCCTTCAGTTTTAGTACATCTCACAGCGATGAATAAAAGCTTAATCTTCAGGTTTAGCTGGTTTAACTCCAGAGAAATATCGCTGTAAAGGTGGAGGTTCCTAGCACAGTCTCCCAGGAAAAAAATCTACAAGGAGTATTTACTCCAAATTCCCAACCTGCCCTGTGTTCTCTTACAGCTGCAGATTCCCTGTCAGGAGTCCCGGCAGCATGTAGGTGACCAACGTTTCTCTTTACCCCATGTCCATATATTTTGCAGGGATTCAGATAAGGAAATAAGCAGCAAAGAGACTGGGTGGTAAATCTGAGCTCACAGCGCTGTCAGGAAATGTTCCTGCTGTTTTTAAGGATGCGTTTTCTGAGCTGCCTCCAGATTTTTGGTTGCATTTTTACGTTCCTTTGCTCGCTTTTCTGCCTTTCCCCCCATTTTTGAAAGCCCTATGGGTTTAGAAAATGTTTTAAAGACATGCAGCCCCCCGAGGCCTTTCCATTTTACCACTAATCAGGAAAGTGTGTATGGACTGGGAAACAACTCCCTGGGGAGCTGCCAAGATACAGTGGGGCAAGAGCCAGCCTTGCTGGCACTGGGAGCAGCTCTCTCCTGGAGATGGGAAAATACATGAAAGTGCTAAACGGGAGGCTGGGGATCAAAAAATTATCCCTCTGTGTTTTTCCTGGGAGCTGGTGTCCTGCGGCTCATCCCTGTGCAGCGTTTGGGATCTTGTTGACATTGGTCTCATCCTACTTCTGGCAACATGGTGATAGCATTGGTGGCATTAATGGCACAGCATCTGCTGAGATGTGGAGCTTGTTTAATGGGAGAATTTGGCAATATTGGGAAAGAAAAGAAGGGCTCTTTACAAAATTAAACACAGTTGCAGTTCAGATGCACAGAGAAGCTCAGGAGCATCCACTGAACTGGGTGCTGGAGACTTCGGGAATGTGTAAGATGACAAATAGTTCTGATTTTACAGTCACAAATGTTGCCAGGATTAGGCTTGTGTATTTGCATAGGAAAACTTAGACTAAGCATGTTAGGATGTGCTTGATTATTGAGCAGTTTGGATTGATGTAGAAAAACAGAGAGCGGTGCCCATCTGAAAAAAAAATAAGGAAATTTGGAGATATTTCAGGTCTGAGGTGACTCCCAGGCTGTGATTTGTAAGATTGAGGGGTGAGCTGTGTGTGTGCATTCACAAAAGGCAGCAACAGGGAAGATAAAGCACAATTTGGTTCTGCAACTTCCCACATCTTGGCAGATTTTGGAAGTACACTCAGCAGTGCTCCTGGATGGAGTGTCCCACTCCATTAATGATTTTCCCCCTGAACTGGAAATATGTATAAAGTGTGTAACCCACCCCTTTCTGACACAGGAATACAGGGCAAACCCTAAGAATCACATCACTTCATGCTGTGTACAACTTACAAAGTCATTCTTCCAAAAGAGATCTATGGGATAGGCCCAAAAATAAGGGCTTTATTGTGTAAATATTCCCAGAACATAGAGATTTTACTTTATATTTCATTTGAGAGACAAGGTGTTTACATAGCATTGGGTTTTTGAATGCTTTTTAAACAAAAAAACCCATAACCCAAAGCTTCCAAGCTCGTCCCATTTGTGCTGTGGCACAAAATGGAGTCACTTTTTTGGGATGCAGCTCCTGTGGCCTAGGTAGAGAGATGGGACAGTTCTGTGCACTTTCTGGGGTGAATTGGCTGGCAGGGCTGTGTCCAATGTGCCATCACACTTCCAGCCCCACAGGGATATGGTTTCCCCTCCAGCCATGGGCAGGTGACACCAAACCCACAACACCGGGACCAAAACCAGCAGTTTGGGACAGAGGACAGGTTCCTTCCATACTGCTTTGGCCAGTTTTTTTTCATAGTGTTTTAGCAGAGTGCCACAGGGATGCTGGTTTTGCTGGGCGTTTGTCTTCTTGCACGTACGAATGTGGCACCCCGGTGTTACCCAATGCAGGGAACACAACTGTTGTTGTTCCCGAGTCCAAAGTGCAGGAGCCTGGTCTTCCTGCCTGGCTTTGAGAAGGTCTCAGCAGAAAAGGTTATGGGCAGCAGCTTAGGTTGGTCTGAGTGTTTAATGTAGAGCATCAAATAGGAGCATGTATAGGAATGTATATCCCTCACAGCCAAGAATTACTTCCCAATATCCCATCTAACCCTACCCTCTGACAGTGGGAAGCCATTCCCCCTTGTCCTATCACTCCAAGCCCTTGCCCCAAGTCCCCTTCCAGTGCCCCTTTAGGCACTGGAAGGGCTCTAAGATCTCCCTGGAGCCTTTTCTTCTCCAGGATGAATACCCCCAGCTTTCTCAGCCTGTCTCCAGAGCAGAGGGGCTCCAGCCCTGGGAGCACTCCTAGCGGGAAGCACCACTGCTCTGTTTCCCAGCATGTGGTCCAGCAGGTCTTTTGCCAAGTCAGACTGAGGCTGGAAAGGGGGCTCAGCCCTCTGGCACTGCCCAGCTCTAGCACTCCTGAGCTCAGCAGCACTCTGATCTATCTGAGTGAAAAAAAGGACAAATAAAGGAGGCATTAAATAAAAATATATGGATGCATGCATAGAAAGGCTTTAGCTCAGTTACTCCCATGGACCCTTCCCTTTAGACTGTGTCTCAGCAACCTCTCCCAGAGGAATTTTCCCCTGGGAATTTCAGCAGCCCACACCTGCAGAGTCAAAGTTCCTCTGATGGAGCAGGAGGGTTTTCCCCCACAGACACCCGAAGACTTGGGGTTTTAGATGTCAAGAGCAGGAAGTAAATTTTTTTGGTAATTTTTCTCCTGTTTGTCGTAAGCAGTCAGGATTCTCAGTCACCTTATGGTGCTCCTCACAGGAGACCTTTCAGACCAATTTTCTACTTTAACAGTATTTCTTAATAACTATGAAATCACTCACTAGTATGAAATACTACCAAATAATGAGCTTTTCATTTGGTGCCTCTTAAATATCGCTCTCCTGTTCAATAATTCTTATTTTTGCTGTCATTCAGGATTTCATTTAAATTACTTTGCCTTTGATCTGCCCTTTCAGGTTTTATCTATTAAAGGTTTTTAAAACATAGATGGGAAAAAACTAGAAATTTCTGTTGGAATGTCATCCTGTTTTAGCCAGGCAGGAAGGGGATGGAGAGGGAAGGCTGCAGCCACCCAAGATTCCTCCAGCACAAGTATCACATAAAGAGTTACCACTTCCCTTTCTCCCAGCAGAGGCATTTTAAAAGACTGGAGTGCACTGAGAAGATTTTTAAAAGACTTAAGAAGGAATCAAACATCTTTTACTAAAAACATTCAGACCTCATCCTTGGCTACCAATCTCTGTCAGCAACTGTTTCCAGGCCCACTGGGCACCTGGGGCAGTTTTGGGTCACAGCGGAATCCTGCTCCATTCCACCTTTTTTTTTGACATACAGCCCATGGATCTGTTACCCAAACACCCAACATCTTAAAAAAACCTCACATCCATACACTAAGTATGGAGTGGTTTTTCCCCTACTCTTCTGTTGCTTCTATGTGAAAACATCTCGGTTAAAACACTTAATTTTGAAGCTTGACATATTTTATATGTAACATCATGTCATACTTTCCTGATAAGAAATTACTGCCTCAAAGATTTCATTTCATAGCCAGAATTCTTCTGTTCTTTTTTTTCTCACCATTTCCCAAGGAAAGTAATCCTTGCAGAGCTGGGGAGGTTTTATGATAATCAGGATTTTAGTTCTTATTTCAATCAGGATTTTAATTCTTATTTCACTGCAAGGCTAGGAAAATATTTGCAGGAATACACCCTGCTCCTGCCTTCCCTTTCCCTTTAGGAGGGATGATGCTGCTGGCAATGGTTCTTGAAACCATGAGCGTTAAAGTGGTGATGCTCTTCCAAGGTTTTCAGACAAGCAGGACTCTGCAACAGGCCATGCAAGATGTGGTGAAACACAACAGGTTTTAGTGAGGCATTTGGAATATCTTGTTCCTCCATTAGAAATCCCACTCTTTCTGGGTACAGCCGTCCTGCTGTCAGGTTTCTCATCCACACAGGGATGGGCTTTTCCACTCCAAAATGCTTTAAGGTTGATGAAATCACCTGGTTGCTTGGATTATATAAAACATGTGGAGATGTTCGTTGTGGTGAGCGAGGAATCCCATTGGGATGTGTTGTGAAGCTCCTCTCCTGCAGCCAGGGCTGGTGGGTGGAGGGGATGGAATGCAGGAGAACCTCACCAGGACACCCCAGCAGTGAATCAGATTTCCCCAGGTATCACCCTGTATCATTTTATTAACTCCCTCATGTATAAAATGTTTATAAATATTTGTGGATTAAGATACACAGGTCTATTTTTAAGATTTAAGTTAAATAAGTTAATGAATGGCTGGCCTTTTTTGCCTAAACGTGCAATGAGATATATTATACCTTTAGTCTATGATGGCCTAGGTACTGCTTAGTCTGTGATGAAAACTTTGCTGCTTTCCTACTGTTCTCAGAGAAAAAAAAAAACTGTAAAAGACGTACAGGTTTGTTGCACAGGGACTACTGCAGCGAAGCTTTGTATTTGACCACTGGTAATATGAATGTGTTGTATTGACTTGTTGAAGATAATCATGAAACAACATATTTTAAATGTTACTTGCCTTATAGATTAGAGTACAACTATGTGGATATCATTTTTGTAAATACTGTTTTTTATAAATGTCTCTCCTCCATTCTCCCTGTCACCCATTTCACCGAATCTCGAATATGCAATTATTTACCACGCATAACGTTGCGACAGATAAATCCCCATGTCAGAACAAAGTTTATTAATTCTATACATAAGATCCACATTAAATACCCAATTGAGTTGCAATTTAAATGTGATTATTATTTTTTCCTTGAAAATAAACAAAACCAGTAAAACAATACTTTTTCTGAGTGAGCTTTGCTTCCCTAAGCAAGAGAAGATGGGCAGAGGTATCGGGGGCTGGCCCAAAAAAGGGTCTCTTGCCCAGAAAAAATCATCTCTGGCCCAAAACCTGTCATCGCTGCTGGAGTTATGCACAGTGTCCCACATGGGGACAGGTCAGGGTTGGCATGTGGGGACATTGGGAATCCACAGGGACCATGGGGACAGATGGAGCTCAAGAGGACCCATGGAGGCCACGAGCATATGTCAGGACTGTAGGGACATGTGGGGTCTATGTGGATCCACAGGGGTCATAGGAATCTGTGAGGGCTATAGGAACCCATGGGGACCCACAGGGGGACCATAGGGACGCTGGGGGGGGGGGCTGTGTGGACCTATGGGGGCCACAGGGACCTGGGACTTTTAGGTGTACGTGGGAACCTGTGGATACTGTGGGGACCTTGGGGGAGTGTGTGGGAACATGTGGAAGTCGTGGGGACATGTGGAAGTTGTGAGGACACGCAGGGACCTGTGGACTCTGGGGACCTGTGGGGGCTGTGAGGGAATACAGAGACCTGTGGAAGTCATGGGGACCTGAGGGGGCTGTGGGGACATGCAAGGACCTGTGGAGACTGTGGGAGCCATGGGAAACCTGTGGGGGATGTAAGGGGACACCAGGACCTGCGAAAGCCATGGGGACCTAGGGGGCTGTAAGTGCACACAGGGACCTATGAAAGCTGTGGTGACTTGTGTTAGTCATGGGCACCTGTGCGAGGTTATACGGACACACAGGGACTGGTGGAAGCTACGGGGACCCAGGGCAGCCGTAGGAATACACAGTCCCCCGGGAGGCTGTGAGCACACAGGCGGAGGCCGGGAACGCAGGGGCCAGGAACGCGGAGGACGACTCCCCCCCTCCCGGTGGCCGCAGGGCGGCACTGGCCGCCGCCCTTCCGCCTCCCTCCGCGCTGAGGGGGTGGAGGAGCGCTGAGGGGGATGGATGGCGGTGCGGCCATAAGCGACCCCCGCTCGGGTGGGTCTGGGTACGACTGCACCTCCAAACCGCCTTCCGCCCGGCAGCTTTTTCCTCATAAGCCCGAGCTTTGCCTCACAGGTCCTTCCAAGCGCTTCCCGGGGGCAGCAGTGGATGAGATCCTGAGGGATGTGGTGGAGAGTTACTTGAGGGAGCAGCGCTACGAGCCGGCGCAGTGCAGGGAGGTGGCGAAGGACATCGCTGAGGTAGGAGGGAGCAGGTGGATATTCTGCCCTCATGGTTCGATGGGGTGTGAGGGAGGTGGCTGCTGGGGAGCTCCCCAGATATCCCCCAAAATACCTATAAAGTGTGAAATAAAGGGTGGAGGAGGGTTGCTCTGAGGAGGGTGCACATGGATACGAGTTAATAGAATGGTTTGGGTTAGAAGGGACCTTAAAGCTCATCTTGTTCCACTCCCTGCCATGGGCAGGGACACCTTCCACTATCCCAGGTTGCTCCAAGCCCTGTCCAACCTGGCCTTGGACACTTCCAGGGATGGGGCAGCCACAGCTTCTCTGGGCAACCTGTGCCAGGGCCTCACCACCCTCACAGCCAAGGATTCCTTCCTAATATCCAGTCTAACCCCATCCTCTGTCAGTTTAATACTATTTCCCCTTGTCCTGCCCTGCTAAACATCTGTCTCCATCTTTGAACACATGGACTAAACTTGTTTTTCTCCTGCAGATGGTTAAAGCGCGGGTGAAGGACCTTGTGATCCCACGGTACAAGATTGTGGTGGTGACACACATTGGGCAGCTGGATGAGCAGAGCATGCAGATTGGGAGCAGGTGCCTGTGGGATCCTGTGAGCGACACGTTTTCATCCTATGTGTTCAAGAACACTTCCCTGTTTGCTGTTGCAAATGTCTATGGTGTGTATTTTGAATAGGGAGGTAGTTGAGCTTAACAGCAGAAGAAATGGAAGTTCAGCCTAACTCTACCTGTTTCTGTTTTGAAAACATTTGTGAAGGACCAAAGTGCTCTCACCTGTTTTGAAATGTAATTAACTGTAATTAACTGGGTAAATGTAATTAACTGACACACTGTTTTGCACCTAATTCTCGCTACTTTCAGAACTTTTCCTGCAGGGAAAATAATATTTTAAGAATATTCCCTATAATGTTTTTATCTCCCTGAATTTGCCTTCATTCCATGATCCCCAAGCAGGAACCACAGAGGGTTTTTTGGAGAGTAAAACAAGAGCATTTTAAGACAATCTCTGTTAATGATGTTTGCAGGCATTTAGTGCGTGCCAGGCTTGAGCACAGAAAAGGTAGAAGGTAGCTGAGAGAGGTAGCTAGTTCTGCTTGAATCATAGAATCCCAGACTACTTTGGGTTGGAAGGGATCTTAAAGCTCATCCAGTTCCACCCCCTGCCATGAGCAGGGACACCTTCCACTAGACCAGATTGCCCCAAGCCCCGTCCAACTTGGCCTTGGACACTTCCAGGGAGGGGTAGCCACAGCTTCTCTGGGCAGCCTGTGCCAGGGCCTCACCACCCTCACGAGAAAGAATTTCTTCCCAATTTCCAATCTAACCCTGCCATCTTTCAGTTTGCTGCCATTCCCCCTTGTCCTGCCATTCCATGGCCTTGTCAGTCCCTCTCCATCTAGGAAGAAGACCAGTGAAATGAAGTGAAAATTGTCTTTAAATGATACTATGTTTAGAGTATATAAATCTGACATATCTGGGCCCTTCTAGTGAAAGTGCTTGAATCGAGAATACTGAATTTCAGCTGGTTCTCAGCCAATACCTGCCCTTAGATAAGAGATGCAATACAGCCCTCAGCTCAGAAGTGTGTTTTCAGTCTCCCTGGGTGCAAATTAACTGTCTGTTGAATTGGACTTAAGGGAAATGTTATTGAAAGCAGCTCTATTAGGAGATAAACTATGGGTTTATGCCCATCCAGTTTAGATGCTGGGGCTGATGGTCCCAGGTCTCTCCTGGTGCAGCCGTTCCCCACTGTTTGGGGTCTGGCCGACTTTGCAGTGTGACAGAGCTTCCTGTGCCTTGCTCTGATTTTGAAACCAGACTTTTTGCTTCTCCTGTTTCCCAGCTGAAATCTGCTGTTGGATTTTCCTGAGTAAGAGAACAAACCTATCATAAATTGCTTATTTTATTACATTTTACATGCAAAGCTGAAACTAGAAGAGTAGTTAGTTAGAAAGAAATATTTGTACTCATGAATGAGTTTAACTAAACCTCTTGTAAACCCTGTGAAATCCAGTCAACCTGAACTGTCACTGCAACCACTTGCTAGTGTGCACTATGACATTTAACACTCAAAAGGGTAAAGTTACAATTAAAGAACGCAACTGAACTAATTGTGGTTTATGTCATGATTATTTTAATCTCTGGAAGCTGTGATATTGAGCCTCAGCAGCCCCGTTTCAGCACAGGGAGCTGATCTCCCTCCTGCTGCAGCCCACGTTGCAGCAGGATGTGGTGAGCAGCTTGGCTGCCTCACGCTTGTTTAGCACAGACATTTTGCTGATGTGCAAGTCTTGCTCTGGCTTGGACTTGACCTTGTGGGTTTCTTCGCGGTCGGTCCCCAGTCTCTGGTCTGTGTAGGTTGAAGAGTCGGCGTCACCGTTGTGTGGGAAAGGCTGGGGGTTTTCACTCTCTGTGGCATAAAAATGAGAAGCTAAGAGTTAGAAGTCACGGAAAGATGAGTAATTTAAGTATTTATCTTTACTAGAAAGACACACCAACCTACAGCCAGGGGGGGAAACACTCCATGTTTCTGGTGTGAGCAACCAACATGTACCAGATCACTGACTTGCTCACAGTCTGAGCAATGTGTTTAAAAACCCAGTAATTCATGGATTTATATTTAAGAGTATTCTTTGTTGCCTTGTCAGTCTTACACTGATATATTTGCTTCCAAGGGAAAAACTGTGGTTAGATGTGTAAATGGCACTTGACTGGCACATTAGCTTGGGCCTGCCTGTGGGATTCCTGATATGCAAGTTTTGCATTAAGGCATCACCTACACCACAATTTCATAGTCCTGGATGTTCCCACTTCAATTACACTCGCATTTCAGCTGCATTTTAAACACTTTTGGACATCTGGGCACTGCCTTCTGGAGTTTGTAAAGGTGTAGTAGTTCTTGCTTAGTTTAGCACCAGACTCTCACGGAGGGTGTTGTGGGTGGCATTTCTTCTTGTATTTGTTTAGAGCTGCTGCTGTAAGAAGTTTTCCAAAAATGCAGGTGTGGGAAGTGCAGAAAGTCTCTATTCCTGTCATCTGCCTCAGTTATTTTCTTGTTTTCTATTTATTTTAATCTGTCAGAGTGCAAATTCCTAGCAGTGCATATAATGGCTGAATTTTCTTGCTATCCAAAAATGCGCTAATGAGTACAGATATATACGACAGCTTGTGAAGATACTTAAATTGCAGAGTAAATATTCAACATGCTTTATTTATAATATTCTTAAGTTGTGATAAAGTTTCTGGTTTCTAGTGGGGAAAGTGCAGGCAGCAGTAAGACACTTGCATTGCCTGCAGCAAAGCTCACCGCTGGCACTTGAAACGAGATGGCAGAGAGATTTTCAATGATAGCCTTGGTTTTGCTCCTGTTCCTCAGGTGGACTTGAAAAATCTTGAGCTAAATGGGTTTTTTTTAGCAAAATAGCACAGAGAGCTAAGCTAGGCAAGCTGGAAGGAGAGAGAACACGTGGAGCTGCAGTGCTTCGCTTACTGTCTCCCAGCACTGCCCGTGCTGCTGGTGCTGGAGCTATTGAGGGGAACAGTGGGAGTGGAGGGCTCCCGAGGCACAGCTTGCAGGGACTGTGCTGCTTCTGAGTCCCCTTGGAGCTGGATGCACTGGGGATGAGCCTGTGATGCTTCAATCAGTACTTACCCAAGAGGTAGCGATGATCAGTCAGATGCCTCTTCCAGCGCGAGCCACCACAGGTGAACACGACAGCTCTGACAAAGTCTCTCCCACAGAGCCTCACAGTGTTTCCTTCCCCTTGTCCTC